ATCAAAGACAGCCCAATCCGACACCTAGTGCAGTACCATAATCGGGTCTAGGGATCAGGTGTAACTTTCCAGTTTTGCCCATCAATCTCCAAGGTCCAGGGCAACACTGGAAATATGGTCCGGTTCAAGGGTTCAAATAATCATACACTGCATGTGCCTTGAGTCTCACCCTAGCAACTGAGACAAGCCACCCCAACAGTTGGTAGCACACCAGTGTCAGACTTGGCAGGATAAATCTCACCAGACTTATCCAACGGCTGTGAACATTTAAAACCAACACAAGTCTCATTAAGTGTTCAGTTTTAGGGTCTTACACAGAAGTATACCACACAACATGAATCAAACATGTACTTCATTTATTTACATTAAATATCAAAAGTACATCARAATTGATTGAAGCTAAGGGCATACAAAAACTGTCCAACAAAATTAGTAGAAAAATAATGGACTATAGCTTGTATGGGAGATAAATACATAGACTCAACCAGTTAATAAAGAAAATAAAGTTAGGATCTGGAAAATGCTTCAATTAAGTTTCACCTTTTTGTTAGGTGACAAACAAGGGCAAGGCCTGAGTCTCATGAGAGTTCAGAAACAAACTGAAGTTTTCTGTAGCAGGGCAGGCTTCTGTGGTACCCACTAACAGAGGCAATCTCTTAAGAGAATCTAGATTCTATAGGAGATTGATGGTGCTCAGGTAAGAATAGTAATTGGTTCAAAAGACAATTTCTTTATTTTTAGGATATGGAGTGCTAGTTTAATAAATAGTACTGATATCTGACTATGATTTGATTTTTTATTTCTAATGAGTCTATAGTAGGTATCAATCTCTTTAGTAAAAGACTTTAAGTTGTATTTAAGTTTTAGATAATGTCTAACAGTAGTCTAGAGGAATCCACATTGCTGTCTTGGACCTCAAATAAACATGTCTAAAATACATAGACTATTTTAACAATATATGTATATGTTAATGATATGGTGTATTATGCACATATCATATGAAAATAAATGGACTTATTTGCCATTGTTGCCTAATTGAACTTGGGGTCTTATGACTTTGCAACTACTTCATTATTAGTGCAAGAACCTTTATGCTATTTATGTAGGCAATCCTTGCATAGATCCCCCTGAAGGCACCTATTCACCTAGTTGATGCATTAAAAATCATGTATGCCAGTTTATAAATAATTTACTCAATTTAACTCAGCCTTAATTCCAACTAATTATGGTTGGCTACATGAACCTGTCCTTCCACTTTGCTCTATCAAGAGCCATGTTTTCTATCAATTGCAAGTTCTTAGGTCATTTCTTAGCACTTTATCCCATGTTTTCAAATTACAAATAATAACGATATTTAGTAGAAAAAGAATAAACGATCTAAGAACTTGCAAGTGAAAATAATTCAGTAACTCCAAATGTTCAATAAATACTATTGATCCAATGGCATTTTAAATATATTAGACCAAACCATGCCTTAAGTTTAAATCTTGTAATAAATGCAACTTACAGTTGAATTTCTTTTTTGGTATCTTGCCATTGTTGAGTGAGTACAGAAAGTTTTTTACTGTTTCAGCATTAAATCTAGCAGTATACTGCAAAAAGGCAATGTTAGAGAGACAAGACTTTAGGCAAATGAATAACTGATGAAGTGAATAAAGCACCTGGACTACAACAAGGTAGTACTTTGAATTATTCCGATCGCTACAATCAGTAACACTTGCAGGGGCCTGTGTGTTAACCTAAAAAGAAAATATCATTCATGGTAAGGGAAACCAAGATGAGCTATCATAAAAAGGTAAAAAGTTGGAGAAAAATAACTTAGGTGATTCATAAAAGCAATTATATTGCTACAACACAATGGGCCTTAATTTGATTACATGGACTGTTAAAACTCAGGTGGTATGTCCTGGCCCATCAGAAATTGTAAATTTTCAAGTCAATATGTGGATAATAGTTGAAAATGAATCACATGCCTAAGTACGGAATTCATCCATGGTCCATAGGCAAAGGAAAGATCCAGACCCGGTTCCAAGAAAAAAAATAAAATTCAAGTATTTGCTCTTGGGTGAGGGAAAAACGGAAACCCTATTGATTATGGGAGGTGATGATTTTTTTTTTTTTTTGAAGATTTTCTATTTCTTTGTTACCTCAAATACTCAGGGTAAGGCTTTGTTGAGTTTTCTTGGCATTTGTTCACCTCTTTGCTTCATGTCAATCAATAAAAATGTACAATGTGAGTCTCTCAACTATTCTTGTTGACTATGTCACAAGTTAAAGGAGTGGTTCATGGAAATAGGCCCATTTTATCAAAGAGCTCCATGCTTAATTTCTATGATGAACTTCTCATTCTGATGGAACCTGATATCAACCAAAACTTTATTTTAACAACATAGCTATGAACAATGTCTCCAGGAGTGATTTACAATGGAGAGTTTGCTCCCTTGCAACTTTTGGTTTTGTTTTCAGGTTGTTGATGGTGGGATTTCACAAACATAAATTCTTTCATAAATCTACCACAAAGCCCAATTAAGATTATTATACTTGAATTTAAGTTGCAAGGAGATTTAAGCTTTGGAATACACCAAAAGGCCCTGTTTTCTCATCAATGGAGAATCAGAGTTTAGTCTCTGATGGAACATAAAAAGATTAAAGAGTTTGTAGATCCCATTTTTAACATAAACAAGATAACTTTAAAATTTTATATGTACTAGACTATTACTATGCTGGATATCTATACAGAAAATATGTTCTGATAAAATGATGCATGACAAAAACAGATTATTACTTGATGCAATGGGCACACTGAAGCAGCTAAATAAAAACCACAAACACATACTTTCGTTATGTAAATATTAACAATACTGACAATCTAGAGTTATTTGATAGTCAGGGAAAAAACGAATGGTTATTTACCCGTGTCAAATTATAGGAATCCCAACTACTAGTGGTCCTTTAGGGTGTGTTTGGTTTGATAGAAGATAAGAGAGAAACAAGAAGTTGAGGCAAAGTAAGAAAAATAAGGCAATACAAAAGAATAGCCTCCAAATAGCAACAATAGATGCTTTCAAGAGCTCGAACTGTCGCAAGTAACCATGGATAATTGCATCAAATAACGCGAACATGGCTAGTTACATCAATCACAAACACCTAAAAAATGCATCGAGCAGACAATCTTCTTACAAGAGTTCACATGGATTCCCGTTGAACTCTACAAACTACACTTCAAATTCAAATAGGCATTTTATGAAATAAGATTAAAATGATTATTCAATTAAAACTGCGGGAAAATTCAACTTTTTTTGATGGGAGGGAAATTCAACATATTTAATCAGAATTAATCAACAGCGAGAGAGGTAGCTCACAAGGACGATGCTCTTGCAGAGATGATGGATGGACGGCGCCTCGAGGATTTCTCTTCTTGCCTCGATAGGTCTATCATAGTAGTCGGAGGGTACCCTCTTGAACAAGAAATCTCGAACGCCATTTGCGCGAAGTATGGCGGATAGACGTGATTCAGTGGTGCCGTCGCTGTAATCTTCTTCGTGGGGTGAGACGGATAGAGCAGCCGAGAATTGCTGTGGCAACAGAGACAGCTCTAATTCGGTTATCCGTTGGAGGATTCCGAGTTGTCTTCTCTCTAGCTCACCTAAAGCATCCATTCTTTGTCTTCCCTTCCTCTCAGAACTCTCTCTCTCTCTCTCTCTCTCTCTCTCTCCCCCCCCGAAGAGGAATCAAACGACCAATTAAAAAGATGCAGAGAACGTGCTTCAAGTTGTGAGGTGTGCCTATTTCATCAGTACTGACGCAACCTAGATCAGACGGTTATGGAGGCATGACCTAAATCGCATACTGGGTCCCACTCCACAACACTTGAGCTGCGTGCCTGCGTTATGTATGGGTATAGTTATTCCAGAGTTTCCCGCCAAAAGAAAAAGACTGGCAGTTCATGACTTTCGAACTAAAAAAAGGGAGGGGGGACCGGGAGAGAGAGAGGAAATCAAAATTACCGAGGGAGAGAGGAGAGAGAAGGGGGAAGGAAAGGAAGAGAAAGCGATGGATCTGAAGCAAGCTGGTTCTTCACTCGATTCTCTCATATCATCCTTCAACACACGCATTTTGGATCTCCAAGAGCTTGTGATTGGTCGCAACAGTTAAGAAAATAACAGTTCTGTAATTCTTTGATATTCGGATTCAAAAATAGAGGGAAAATGCTTTTCTTTTTTGCTTTTGTTCTTCTATCGCAGTGTATCCAGCCACCAGCGTCCCTGATTTATCGGCGGTAGATACGGCCGTGAAGGCAATGGAGTTTCAAGTGCAAGCTATCAAGGATCGGCTACGGGAGGAAACTGAAGCTATCCCGAAAGCAAAAGTATCTACTCATATGCGTTTTTATTTTCCTTTCAAATTAGGGCTTGCAATGACGTTACTCTGTGTTATTGCCTTCTGTTGACCCTGAAAGAGTTGTATTACTTTTTGCTAATTGTAGAAATTAATTGATATGTCCCTGCGTCAGCAAAAGAAGTTGCAGCATATGTTAGCTCATATGCCACCACGCTTGCTAGAGAGTGTGACAGTGTCGAACCGGAACCCTAGTAATTGGTAAATTTTTTTTTTCTTTGCAGAATTTATGCTGTTTCTTCGTCTCCTCTATACCAAATGATGAGCAGATTGCTTATCTACTGGGTTTAGTTTAATGCAGGAAAGCTCCAACCACGACTTCCACCTCGGGTCTTTGAAACTTGATGAGGAGCCTGTGGCATTACCCAAGGTAAAAATTTAATAAACAAATAGAAAGAGTTGGTGGCAAGCCTTGGTAATAGCCAGTGGGCCATGAAATAAGAAGTCAAGCTACCACTCAATTTCTTTCACAATCTGAGTAAGATTTCAATTTTAGTGGATTCGACTGTAGTTTTCACCGCCTTTAGTTGGACCATGATCACTATGTATACATTGAAGGTGCGTGATTTTTGATAGGCAAACAATCAATTTCATTTCACATCAACAAAACGATTATACAAACAATGTTCTAAGTGGTCTAGAGGAAATATAAACCATGGAGTGGTATGAAATTTAATAAAATGTACTAATTTATGGGCAGGTACATTAACAAGAGATCATAAACATATCTAAAATCCACCTTTTTTATCAGAAAACATATCTAAAATCCACCTTTCCAAAGCTAGAAGCTATATTTTTATTTTATTTAAGAGAAAAATCGTATGCCATGAGAGAGAATGTTATCTTGTCTTCAAAGTCAAAATTACTGCTTGAGTGTCAAAATGAATTGTGTCAACTAGTCATAGCTGTTTTTTTAACTATCAACAAAGCTTTGAAGATTGCCATTAATTAACTCAGTTTTCTCAATGAAACACCTACACCAATGTAATAAGAACTCGGGATAATTCATGTAAACTCAAGACAAACCAAAACTAAGAAGAGCAGTCATGCCCAAGTAACCCAGGATTATCCATGTAAACTCAAGAGTGGTTAACCAAAAGTAATAAAGAGGTCAAACAGTCCACAATCCATAGTTGTCAAGGCGACGCTGAGGCGAGCGCCTAGGTGCCCTTTGAGGCTCGCCTCGCCTAATCGCCAAGCAGTTTTCTACTTCCTACTATGAAACACTTTTTTATCCATTCTTTTTTGAGATTATAATTATAAAATAGACATTATTAAACTAAAATAATCATTTTGTGTGTTTATATACTAATTTCTTTTTATTATTTTCTTATTTATTAGGATTTAATCAACACAAACATTGCTAAATGCTGTATTGAACCCTCAGCACATTTTCCTTTTCCATATGTTCTTCTTCTACTACTACTACTACTACTACCAATACTTTTTATTTTCTTCTTTTCCTTTAACAAAAATAAGGGTTCAGCCCCTATATTTTTTGAATTTTATTTTCCTTCTTCCTTTTCTTCTCATGAATATGTTGATTTTCTATACTTAGTATGAAATCTATACTTTTTTATGAAAATCATGAATAATTATTAAAGAAATATGGTTATGGTACCTACGGAACTACCCTAGGATCTATGTTTTCAACATAAAAAATCCATCGCCTAGGCGACAAGGTGCCCCCCAATCGCCTAGCCTCGCCTTGGCGCCTTGAAAACTATGCCATAATCCATCATTGATGTGCGAACTGAATCACCATAGGCAACTTCTCAACAGTCAATGGACTTAATGTTTTCAAACTAATAGGGAGACACCATGATGCAACAGTGTTTCATAGAATTAAAGGAACCTAAAAAATGTTACACAACAAGAGGACAACAAAATTTGTCTTAGCATTATAGGTATACAGTGAGAGAGGTAATACAACTATGGAATTCATATTGGGTAGCTGCCCTGAACATTTTCTGATTATGGGTTAGGTGGCTGAGAAAGAAAGGCCATTCTCAGGGAGTTTGAGATGAAAGTAGGGTCTAGGGACTGCTTTTAATGGAGGTTTCAATTATACATTAAGAAGAAATGGAACACTTTGTCTTCAATCTTATCAAACCAATGTCCAAGAAAGATAGAAATCATTCTTAAAACCATCAAACCCAGAACAAATAATGACATAACCTTTATAAGGCAACAAGAACACAGTGTTCAAGGAAGCTAGAGGGGAAGAGGAAGGAAACAAATATGATTGAGCATGATATTGTTGTAATTCATTGACTGTATTGTGTCTACATAAAACCCAGAACTGGTAAAAAATTGGACAGCTCATTTTATGCATTTGTTCAATGAAAGATAGCCTAAACCTGAATCTTCAATTAAACCACTTGTTCATCAAATGAAATATAGTAATATAAAAAAACAGAGAACAAGTAATTTCATTATACTGYCAAACAACAAAGAAACAATATAGATTTGAACCCCTCCCCCAAATCTTCAGATCATCCCAGTCTAACATGTTACCAACATCAGTGAACAACCAAAAGGGAATGAAAACAAAAGTAAATGGCTTCAATCTGCAAAAAAGGGGTGAAAACGTTACCTCAAGTTTTGGTTCAAACACGCTGGTGGATTTGGCTTCAATATGCAAAAAATGGGATGAAAATGTTATTAGATCTAGGAACCCAATGTGTATTTTATTAGTTTTACAGATGGAAATCCCACACACATCAACAAGAAAGAATGACATGAACACCAGTCGACCAGATCTCACCAGTGGATAGACATAAGAAAACATGAAAGCAAAAGGAAATGGAAGCCGCTGGAAGAGTGGACCAAAAAAACAAAGGGATGGGAAAGAAGGAAGAGTGGACCAAAAAAACTAAACAGCGGGTAAGCAAAGGAAGTAGAAGATGGATCTAGTCTTACCTTTGAACGAAACGGCCGGAGAATTTATTGGAGATCCAACCGTTGGGACAGGTGGAGGTTGAAGAACAATATTCTCTCAAGGCTCTGTTCTGAGAAGACCCAATAAATTTTCTCAGTAGAGTTTCTCACTGCGATTGCACTATTTTGGTGTGATCCCTCCTACTCGATTTTGGGATCCTGTGCCCCACATTTTCCCCATCCCATCCCCCGATTTCCCTCAAAACAAATAAAGGAAAAGGAACATTTTTGGAATATTATTCATCAAAAAAATATTTTTGGAATATTCCCTACTTCCCATCCCCATCCCACAAACCAAACAGAGCCTTAAATCATTGTTGTTGTTGTTGTTGTTGTTTGTGGCAAATCAAAGATGATGACTAGTAAAATTTATCAAAAAATATGATGACTAGTAAATTCCCCAACTTCTTCATAGTTGACTCTTGAGATGAGTATATATGAATGGACTGGTTTTTGCAGGTCTGAGTTAGATCTTATCATCCTAAATCTTTAATACATAACAAAATCCAACCAACTTTGGCAGTTTTGCATATAATTTAGATCAGAGACCAAACAAGAATGGAATCGAAATATTACAATTTACAACTTAGTAATGCACCTTTGATACATAACAGAATCCAACCAACTTTGGCAGTTTTGCATATAATTTAGATCAGAGACCAAACAAGAATAGAATTAGAATATTACCATTTACAACTTAGTAATGCACCTTTGAGCAGTTCTTTGGCACACATAATAAGAAGTTAAATCTTTTCTGTAGTCTATTCTGATTCCTGAGGTTTATGTATCCTTTGTTTCTAAGGCATGTAGTCCAAAGATCCAACATTACCAGTTTACCACCTGGTATATCTTCTATTTCTGTTCAACAAATGTCCTTTGCCATTTTCCCCCAGAACTTCTCCCTTTGTCGCTGCAAAGTTACATGGGAAAGAAACAGAAATCAGCATGCCATCTAACTTAAAACTTCTAGATGATTTATAGAAAAAGGTACCATGGTAGAACATGAAAGTATCTAATAGGAAAAAGATTCTCCTCAAAACTATTTTTGTATTTATGAAAATTTCCACCTTAAATCTCAACATGAAATGACTAACTAGTTCTGATATCAACTGCCAAAAACTAGTTTAGTTTGTAAAGTATGGGGGAATCAAATTCCACTTTACTACCATTAACAATTAACTACTGAACCATTATTTCCATAGAAAAAATAAATAAATAATGACCTTTATGCAACTGACTAAATTTAAGAAGACTATAAATCTACCTAATAATGATAATATATTTAAAATTTGAATTTCTGGTTGGATATATTGGTCATTGAATAATTGAATCAGAAAATCGGGGAAACCGGGGAAAACCGTTATTGTTATCAAACTTGTTTTGGTTGGGGTAATTTCTCAATTAGTACTTCTGATTAAGGATATGTTAAGCATTTTGTTGGCTTATTCCTACAGCTTTTTTTTTCTGCAGGAGAAAAAGGGCCGTGGTTCTGCACCTCTTTGGTATGTTACTGCAGAAGAACTTGATTCTTTGTCATCGTAAGTACATCATCCTCCTTCAGAGACTTGAATGGTAAACATAAGTTAGTATATCACCATAATTGAGTACCCAAATTCACCTTTTAGCCATTTTGTTGGACCCATCTCCAATTCTTTATTTGCGTTGTCATCATCATCATTTAAGCCTTGTCCCAACTATATCCTGTTTTGTCATTCTACTTTGTTCAGTGCCATACCCATTGATCCAATTCCTCATTTACATTAATTCTAAAATATTTGAAGCCCTTCTTAAACTTCCAATCCAATAACTAACTACAAATTCTTGATGATTTTTAGTTATATGAGGGGAAGACTCACACTGGACAAGGTGAATGCAGCTATCAATGACATGGCTGCATATGCAGAGACAAATGCTCAACTTATTGCAGCTCCAAAAAAGAAGGTCTTATCTCCTAACTCTTGTTTTGTCTCTTTCTATTCTGGTATTATTTGCTTTCTGGTTTTCAATTTTACTGATTATGTTTTTCTGTTTCCATGTAGTTGGCTGAAGGTTCCTGGGAAAAGGCCCTTGTAAGTTAGGCAATTGAACTTAAATGATCTAAAATTCCTTTTTTTGTTTTTCATTGGAGGATGAACAAGCAGATTTGGGTACTATATCAAATGTTTACCCAGATTTTGACACAATTGAACTTGACCTCCATGTTTGAGTGGTCTTGATTTATTATATGCCAACACAGTTTCAACACTATGCATGAGTACATGACAGGATTCATATGCTTGGACCTCATACAAAATGTAGCTCGTTAATTATTCATTAATACTGATTTTTTAACTATTTAATCACTAGGTGGTGATTTCTGAAATTGATTCCTAGTTTCCCATGGAAAATATGCAGGAATTAAGAGATATAGCAATGACAGAAGCAGTAAAGGGGAAGCACTTTTTTCTTGAAAGTGACATAAAAGGACCAGCACTGAAGCTTGATAACACTGGAAAAGCAATTCTAACTGTGAGTTTTTCTTTTCTCCTTGTATGATGGATGATCCAATGGTTTGGTGGATATGACATTATCATATTTTAGCACCTAACATGCAGAAAAAAGCATAGTAAAGTAACCATGTTTTATTTGTTTGATGTCAATTGTCATGCAACATATTTTTTGGGATTTTCATGATCTTGACACAGTTCAAATATGTTTCAACATCCAAAATAGATAAGTATCAATTCAATCAGAAAAATATGTCATGCAACATGTTTTTTGGGACTTTCATGATCTCAACCAGTTCAAAATTCAAATATGTTTCAATATCCAAAATAGAGAAGTATCAATTCAATCAGAAAATTTATTCTAGTTCATGCAAGATTGACTAAATCTAACCTTATTGAATTTGAAACTTATAAAATATGGACTATATTGTTTATTTTTTATGTACTGGCAGAGGATGCCAACCTCATAGCAGAATCTAAAGTTTCCGTTATGTGTTTGGTAGGTCCTTCGCCACCTTGGTCGAATAAGTGAGGCAAGAATTGGGCATCACCGTGTTATCATCCTCTCAAAGCCCCAGTGATTGACTCATTTCATTGCAGCATAAGGACCTAAAAATCTTGTGTACTTTTCTTGTTCATTTTGTTTACTGATGTTACAAGCTCAAGAACTTAGTGTGGATATCAGTAAATTGCAGAAATTGCAGGTATATATAGGTGGACAATATCAAAATGTAGTGGAAACCATATGGCATATTCCGGAGAAATTAATTTCACTATTATATATTAAATCTCAAAGGACCAATTTTGAGCACATGAAATTAGATTCTTCATTATTGTATGTTATCAATTATTGCCATTTGTAGCAGACTTTTTCTCTTCATAATTATTGCCATATCCTTTATGCCTATATTTTGGCCAGAATTTTTTTTGCTTWAACATGTTCTTGTGACGCTTTAAGAGTTTCTATCAATCACAGTGGTGTTGGAAAGGCCTTTGTTTATGTAACTTGGTTTTCTTGTGCCTCTTCTTCTCTTCAAAGGAACGTCTGTTTAGGGGGGAAATCAGAGCAGTGATATGTCAATTCAGATGTATTCTCATTTGGAGATATTACCATCAAGGGCGGAGCCCAAGTTATTGGGTGGGGGTCCTTGGCCTCTCCAAACGTTTCTCATCTCTATACCCTTAACCAGGGGTAATCCATCCCATATGCCCACAATCAGGTTTGGCTAATACTCTCTCCCCCCCCCCCCCGGCGCTTCAAACTTTTCAAAGAAAATGTTATAGGGTTCATATTTTTAACCCTGACCTTAATAGAAAGTTCAAATCAAACTTTTGGTTGGAGTTTAGATGGAGAATACTTTCTATAGATGCACTATAGAAGTTTTCGCCTAACCTTCATTTTCCATTCTCCATTCTGTCATCTCTAAGAAAAAGGGAAAAAAAAACTGAACTCCCTCATCTCTTGGCCCCCCAAGGGAAAATTCCTGGTTCCCCACTGATTACTACCATGAAAGATGTCATCTGGGGTGGGGTTGATCAGGAGTCCAAGAATATCTCAGGTGCTGGTTCTATCTTCAGTGAGCTATTGTTATAGTCAGATTATAAGCACATGGCATAACGAGTGGTAAGTATGGGAGAGAAAATTATATCTTACAGGAAAGGAGAAATAGCCCAAGGGCCAGTTATCAAAATTGTTCCAAGTGTCACCTTCAAGCTCAAAACCTGAGCCATGAAAGTTTCCAAATTCCAACACTCCTCCCCTCTCGAAGAAACTCTGAAAAAGTAAGAGCCTGGAAGTCAATAAAGAATAAAGATGGAGACCTTTCTCATCTCTCAGAAAAGAGGGAAGGAATCAGGACTCAGGAGTCGTGTCGTGCACCCCAAGAGTCCTAAGACTTGGTTGAATTCTAGCTGATAGCTTCCGTGAGGGGAACATGGATTTTCTCCAATGCTCCCACTCGTCTAGTACGGACATTCACAAAATATTCAAAACAAGGGGCGCAACTCGGCCCCTCCTTTTCCCTCGCGCCAATTGTTTCGTATCCATCCATCTTGAACAGTTCAAAATTTCAAATAGTTTCTTTTTTTCTGTTTTGTTTTGGTAAAAAACAGTACAAATAGTTTATTTCATAAAAGGAACTTTTCCATGAGACAAAATGGTTATCGGTCAATAAGCAATCGCATTCTTCCTTTCTACACCTACTCTTCTGGAATGAATCTCTTCTGGAAGACGAAGACCAAAGAATTATTCCAAACATATGCTTTTTATTCTGTTAATATACTTTTCTTATTTCACATAGACCGTTGATCTGGGGATTGGAACCCCACTTTGACTCTATATTGCATTTTGCTGGCAACCGATGGAGACTCAGGGAAGGAGAGAGGAATTGCCGGGACAATTCCGCCGTTTGAGGGACTATTGATCCCATTACTTAGCGGACGAGGTGTCGGTGAAGCACATGAATCGAAATTATTGGAAGAATTGACTTCTAACTTCTAAGAGTTTTTGTTGATTTTGGCGTGTGATTCAGATTTCCTGGGTGGTACGAGACTCTTTTAACTTTAATTAAAAGTAGTCCAACCGTCCAAATGCCCTTGTTCAGACTTTCTACTTGTTTAATTGTTTTCCTTCTATGGTTGGTGTCTGGTGACTATAAATGATGAAACCGCCAAGTTAATGAATTGTCTCCAGCTAAACTAAATAGAAATTAGAAAAGATTAACAGTTATTGTTCGTGTCGTTCCTCATGAAGAAGAGTTCTTCGTCAGCATTTCTGGGCCAGGATTTGGGCCTTGATATAGCTCAATCCTTCTTCAAGCCCATCCAACGAACCGAACCTCCGTCCCCCACCAAGCGCCACACCAAAATCTCCGTCGTCGGCACCGGCAATGTTGGCATGGCCATCGCTCAGACCATCTTGACCCAAGGCCTCGCCGATGAACTCGCCCTCGTCGATGCCAAGGCCGACAAACTCCAGGGCGAGATGCTCGATCTCCAGCACGCTGCCGCGTTTCTGCCTCGTACCAAAATCATCGCCTCCGTTGAGTACGATGTGACTGCCAGGTCAGACCTCTGCATAGTCACCGCGGGAGCGCGTCAGATTCCTGGGGAGTCCAGGCTCAATCTACTACAGCGGAATCTTGCGCTATTCTCGCATATAATACCCCAGCTTGTACACTACTCCCCCCACTCCATACTGATGATTGTTTCCAACCCAGTTGATGTGTTGACTTACGTTGCATGGAAGCTCTCGGGGTTTCCATCGAACAGGGTGATCGGGTCTGGAACGAATCTCGACTCTTCAAGGTTCCGTTTTCTAATCGCGGATCATCTCGACGTCAACGCCCAAGATGTGCAGGTACGTACGTACGTACGTTTACGTAGTAAAATTTTCTAGGGTTTTATTCAAATTTGCTTGGGAAGAATGAAATTGAAAACTGGGTGCGTCACGTTACGTTGTAACCAGGCGTATATTGTTGGGGAGCACGGTGATAGTTCGGTGGCGCTGTGGTCGAGCATAAGCGTGGGAGGAGTGCCAATTCTGAGCTTCCTGCAGATGCAGCAGATTGCATACGAGAAGGAAACGCTGGAGAAGATTCACAGAGCGGTGACAGAGAGTGCATACGAGGTGATACGTCTGAAGGGCTACACGTCGTGGGCAATCGGATACTCGGTGGCTAGCCTGGCACGAGCTTTGTTGAGGGACCAAAGGAGTATACACCCGGTGTCTGTGCTCGCCAAGGGCTTTCATGGAATTGAGGGTGGGGAAGTGTTCTTGAGCTTGCCTGCCCAACTTGGGAGGGGCGGGGTCTTGGGCGTAGCCAACGTGCATCTCACCGACGAAGAGGCGCAACGCCTCCGTCATTCGGCCAAGACCATCTTGGAGGTGCAAAGCCAACTTGGAATTTAGTCCATACCTGTCTACTACTGTATCTATTACGTACGTTCCGTTTGTTTGCACTGGGTATACTTTTTGCTTCGTATTTATCCTTGTTTTAATTTGTCTGTAAAATAGGAAATTAAATGATTATTGTGGCCTCTAATTATGAAGGAGGAATGAGGAGGAAGATTTTTTGTTTGGGGGAGTAAAGTAATTAAGAAGCTAAATATGTATCATAAAATATAGGAAGCAAATTGATGTGGTACTGTGTGGTCACCTTATATATACAAGAGAATTTAGAATTTAGGTGGAAGTGGTGCAAATTTTGCATCACTTTTTTTAGATACAAACGTTGCACTGCTAATGAATGATAATGAGCCAAAATATGCAAATTGTGCATCAGTTTAGATTTCTTTTTAGCAAAAAATTTAAACATCAGTTTATATTTGTGTTGCAAACAAATACAGCCTTACGTGTTAACCATTAATTAGTTTGTTTTTACACTTTTAGGGCCATGTGATAACAGCTGAAATGGATGAACTGAAAAAACTTATTATTTTATCTTTTAGTGAATTAAGGAAATTTTTAGAGTTGATAAAGTTGTACAAGGCAACATAATATGTCCATAGTGCCTAGGATATTTACAAGTATAATAAGACAAAAGATGAGCTTGTATGCTCTTAGTTGTAGATATACAGATGAAGTTTCTAAATTGGCTTTGGAGATGTGCTCAAAATGCACTTTGATCAATCCATGTACGGGTCCATTACTAGAAGATTTAACTTCTTTAATTACTGATACTTCAGCATCCAAGAAAACTCGTACCAGCTTCCAAGCCCATGATAACTACACGGAGTTCTGCATCAAAACTATCAAGAGATCTGCAAATTGACCCTTGGGATGCAATGGCCTGCCTATCACCAGGTTGTTTGATGATAAAACGGATGTCTCCAATGTCTGTGCATTGATCATAAGATCCATTAGTGAATGCTAGATAATGATCTTCAACTATTGGGCATAGAGATAATGTATATTAGTCAACAATTATTTCATTTGCTTTGTCCACCAAGGAGACAGGATCCGCATCCTCATTAAGATGAAACTTCCCAGATCATATTAGCACTACCTAGAATTTGGAGAAAAAGCATAATATGATATCTGCATTAAAATATTGTTCAAATGATCGAAGCCTGTCCAATATGAGTTGTTATAGATGTTCACCATTCATTGTACTAGGATTTATACAAAGTTGAGCTCGACACCAAATAGCTCTTACAAAGTGGCATTTAAAAAATAGTTGTGAAAATGTCTCCACTTCCTGATTGCAAAAAAAATGCAAGACAAATAGAGAAATCTTTATGAAATGGGCAAATTTCTTAAAGTATCCCTAAGTTTTAAGAAATCAATGTGTAGCTTCTTTAYACCTACAACCTGCTTGTCATAGAGAACTGGCCAAGATAGATGGATTGTGGCGCATTGCTTGTGTATTTGAGCCTCCAAAGTTCTAACCAACCAGACCAGTGAATAAGGAACCTTAATTTTTCAAACAAAAAATATAAATTTGATGGTTAAAAGGGGATCCAATGAAAATTCTACAACTTTTCCAGCTTTTTTCTTTTTGAGATTGATGATGATGATGGTGATGATTTTTTCCGGTAGGTGGGAGTATGCTCTACTTCTCGTTTGGGATTTGGGAAGGGACCCGCCTCAAGTGGACAATTGAGGCTTGGGAACATGGGAGACAATCAAAGCACTAGCTAGACAAAAAAGGAACCAGTACCACTGCCCTTTCCCTTTTCATTAGACTGTTGCAGTGCAAAGCAACAACCGATTACATAGAAGAAGTAGCTCAAGCAAGAGTAACAAGACTTCATCACTTTAATGTATCTCCCAACACCAAGAAAACTTGGAGGAGCGGAACTGAAAACTTGTAGCATGTTGCCCGTGTAGCTTCTTTATGGGTATTCACAACCGTGCATGTAGACATAGCACTCTGAGTACCGTTGATCTTGATGCTTTCAAGGCTTGATCCAAATAGTTGGATTGGTTCCCACATCCACTAAGGTGTTAAATGTTTCATTTTGAAAATTTAAAGAAGAACGATGGGTAAAATCATTTTTTCCATATTTTCGCTAATAGATGCTAATGATACGGAAGACTTAGTCAATTGTCAAAAAATTCAGGGATACTTTAAGACAATATGTAAATAGTAGGGGTAGAGTTAGTCAATTTCCTAAAACTTAGGGATACTGATATCATGGGACAAAAGCCTCCCCTCCATTAGTAATTCATCAAAATCTGTATACATGTGACATCACATGTGAGTTAATTTTTTGAGAAACCCAATTTTGCCCTTTATGATCCCTTTAGCAATTCAAATCATACTCTCTCATCTTTTTTTATGCTGCAATTTAACTCCACAACAAACACAAGCTTCATCTGGTTTGTTTCTTTCCTTTCATCACAAATAATAAGGGTATCCCGCTCAAAGTTGCTCTTTTGCAACATCGAATTCAAAGTTCTTGGTTTATTTGGTTGGGGGGATGATGGAGGATCCAATTGAGGTCAGGGCCTTAAAGTTGTTGGGAGTGGGGTACATTGAATTCAAAGTTATTGGTTTATTTTATCAGTTGGGGGAGTGATGGAGGAGCCAATTGAGGATAGGGCCTTAAAGTTGTTAGGATTGGGGTTCGATTTGACAAATGGTTTTAAGTTGAAGCACGCAAAAGGGTATATCCAATGGAAAGTTGGTTGTGTTAGATGAGAAGAATAAGTGGGACATTGTGATTCATGGAGGGGTGATGTTTCTCGGCATCTCAATGATATCAGGTGTGATTAAAAGGGACTAGAATGTGCTTGAGTTCATTCAGATGATGGGTTTGAATCAGTTCTAGCTTTTGTTGTGATTTGAATAAGTTGTTTATATTATTTAAGCAAGGATTAAACACTAGAAAAAGAGCTCTCCCTAACATTGCGGAGATGTTTGCACTAATTCCTCTGTAAATAGACAAAATCCCTTCTATCTTTTTAATTTATATATGTTTTTTAACTCCTCTATTTTCATTGCAAATGGGTAATGGCTTCTTTTGGATCAAAACTAAGTGACACCCCTAGAAATCTTGTTCCATATTAAAACCTCCCAAAGGAAAATCCCATGCTTGATTGTGTTTATAGGGTTTAAAGTTCAATAAATATTCCTTTTATTCTTTATCAACTCTCTACTCTAACCTTCTTTTTATTCCAAGCTCTTTGAAATATTCGTCGAAAAAGTTGTTGGATGGGTCAAGACAAGACGACCAAAAGAAATATGAGGAGAGATTTGCTTGTCTTGGAAATATGTAGTAAGGTAAAAAGGACTTTTTAATGATTCCATTAGATTTGACAGGAGAGGTCTTAGTCCAATTTGAAAAGAGAGGGGATGTTTTAGTATTTATGTGGAAATTCAAGAAGGGAGTTTTAAGTGTTTTACCCTATATATTATTATCTATATAATTGGTTTGGGTTTTAATTGATTTGGAACATCAAGAACTAGTCCCAACTCAATTATTAATTAAGACATAATCGATTTGGTTGATTTGGTTTTGTCAAATATATCAAACCCATTAATAGCTTTGAACCATGTTTTTAAAAGGCTAAAGGCATGGTTAAGGTGTAGTGGCCCAAAAATGATGAGAGGGGGGGGGACAGGGAGAGAGGTAGAAAGGAGAATGGGAAAAAGAGAAGAGAGTTTTCTCCCAACCCATATACTGTCTTTTATTCACTCAAAATTTGGAGGTACTTTAAACCTCAAATTCCAAGCTCGCCTCCTCCATTTTCAAGTGGAAGTTGTTGCAACCAGAAGTTCTCCCTAGTTCAAGAACTCATTTAAGCTTCATCCTATTTCATCCCTAGCTGCTAGAAAACTTTTGACAAAGTACATGCGAAAAGTAAGTCTTTCATTTTAGCTTTTAAACTTGATTTCGTAATATGTTTTTTTTTTTTTAGATTTTCTGGATTACTTGAAGTTCTGAAATGTTGGAGAACCATCGTTTACAATTTCTTCTTGACTGAGAATAGAGGCAGAGAGGCGAGGGTCTTAATGCCTAAGACTCAATAACATCACCTCAAAATCAATCTTATGAGAAGTTGAAAGCATTTCCTCCAGATTTAAGAAATTCATGCAACCATTTCTATTTTTCTTTGTTAGGAATCGAGCCTGAACAACTCCCATATTCAGCTATTATAGTAGCTTGGAGAGAGGGGTGTAACACATTCCCTCTCTCAATCATTCCGGATTTATAATCTCTTGATTTGGTGTCATTCCCACGGAGAACGAAGTTACTATCAAAGCAAGTAAATCGATTTTTCAGATTTGAAAACGATAGCCCATTTCCTCTAAAAAATGGGTGGCGACTCCATTTTTTTGAGCCGACCATGAACTTTTCGGAGTTTACAGATATAAGCCTTAAAGTGCGGCGAGGCATAAGCCTCAAAAATTAAATGAAGATATTAATTGAAGTTTATAAATGATATAGCATGAAATAAATAAATGATAGAAAGAACATGTGATAAACCAAGATAGAATGATATAAGAGGTACAAATATCCATAAAATTGAAATCTATAAGCAATGGATTATAGGATTTTAGCATTCAACAAAATAATTATAACTAATCAACTAACACTCATAAACCTTTTATATTTCAAATTTTGAGATCCAAATTTTTCAAATTGTTCAAATGACCCATCATAATATTTTATATTATTAAAAATTCCCTTCATCAATATTTCTTTTAGGAATGGGATCATCTAATGAATCAACCATATAATTGATACTAGATTTGTAGTTACCTATTTAGGAAAAAAGGAACACTACTCAATTGAATTTATCTATGCAAAAAGAACAAATAAAAAGAAAAGAAATCCATTAAGAAGAGAAATGAGAGATGAAAACGTGGTAGAGTATTTTTCTTGTGGAGAAAATAGAGAAAATAACAAATATAGGATATTAGATCACCCAAAAGTATAAAATGATAAGAAAAAACCCACTTAATTTGACTAAAAATAAGGAAAGAATGTTGAAGTTTCTTTGTGGCCATTATTGCATTGAATCTTTTAAAACCCTAAGAGAAATTAAGGCCCCATTCGCTTTTCAATAAGTTATTTACCTTGGTAAATGCATTTACCCGAGCAAGTGTTTTTTGGGAAACATTTACACAGGTAAGTGCATTTACCCATGTTTTTTTTTATTTCCAAGGTAAATCCATTATCAAAAGGGGCATTTTTGTCCCATCCAAGTGTTGGCAACTTTTCTCCAAGTGGGAAAGTTAACATTTACTCGGGTAAGTGATGCCCAGAAAAATAAACTTTCCCTAATCACTGCATAAATTTGAGAAAAGAGTATGGGTTTCTTGGTCAATGGAATTCACTTTGACCAACTTTCCCCCCTTTCAAAATCCAAAAAACAAGCGCCCCCTAAGAACTTCATTTGCCCTATTAGCTTTTCATTTTATGGTAAAAGACTTAACACCCCCTCAAATTTATGCTAAATACTAATACTTCCCCTCCTTTTTTAAAATGGACTAATGCCTCCCCCATTGGGTGATATCATGGGACAGAAACATTCCCGCAATTATATTTTTGTGAAGACCCGGTTGTATGCAACCACACCTACCGTTAAATATTTTTAAAAGCCCATTTTTGCCCCTAGGTTGCTTTAGGAACTGTATGAGTGTTCAATTGAACAATCAGCTCTCCTCCATCTCCATTTTCTCATTTGCTATTCCAATAATGTACATAATGTAGTTGGGTTAGGACCAGATCTGATTTCCTCGGTGACAGTGATTCAATGAAGGACCCACCGGCCTGAGATTCCCAAATGTATTTCATCATCACTATGCTTTATTGTAACAATAAACTTCTATTGYTAAGTTGAGTAAAATCAAACACCTAACTGTTCAATTATGCTCACATCAAAACCAGTAGATAAGGCTTCCTTGAACTCCTTGCTTCCAGACCTTGCAATGGTACTGAGATTGTTCACCAGATCAGATGTTCTCGTGCCAACACCACTTTCAATAATAGATAACGTATAGAGTGTTGTTGGTCTTGTCATGGACGATATCGATGAAGRGCTCGGATTGTTCATTCAGCTTGCTCTTGTCTGTCAAAGAGCATCGGAAATTGGAAGCAGTTTGCATCCTTTAAAGGTACATTATTCGGACAAATTTGTTCAACATTTAACTTGTAAACCCATTAGAGCATATTTGTCTTTTGAATTATTCGATTGAACAAATGTGTCACAAAAGAGGTATTAGCCCATTTTGAAAAGATAAGGGAGGTCTTAGTATTTAATATAAACTTAAGGGAGGTTTAAGTCTTTTACCCTTCATTTTACTCTTTTTATTTGGCCCATAACTAACAAAGTTCCCCAGCCCTCTCATATATTTTAATAAACTTTAAACAAAACATATAATATATATTTTGCATTAAATAACTTAATAATCATTGGTTTTTGAGGCTTATGCCCAAGGTTCAAAGTATCGAAAAGGCAATTTTAAGAGACGTATCAGAATACGCCTTGGATAGACATACGTATCGGATAAAAAACTAAGATACGCATAAATATGCTTGGAAACACTATAAATACTTTAATAAATCATAAAAATACATCAACAACACTAAATATAAGACCTCAATGAGGTGTATATACATTAAATTAATATATTTTAATGGTTTTATGAATAAATATATTATAGCTAATTATAATTTCATTAAAAATCCTATGCTTAACTATAATTTATAAAATATAATTCTTAAGTTTTAATGTTTTATGGGATGAGAAAAACCCAACTCTCCTATCCAACCATAAAACATGCATTGGCACAACTTCTATGTGAAAATATAATTAACAATTATTATTTATTATTCATTTCCAAAAATTATAAAAAATAAATAAACATTATATAATATATTCAAAAAATAGTTATTAAAGAAGAAATTTCAATTGTTTTGTGGATATGATCGATAGATCACCCATAGAATTGTTTTGTGATCAAATGATAAAATATAATTAATTATTTATTTTTTAATTCTAAAAATATAAAAAATAAAAAATATATATATTAAAGAAGAAATTTCAATTTATGGATATGATAGATAAATCCATATATCTAAAACATATTTAGTCTTTATAGGCAAAGAAAAAACTTACATTTTCTTTGTTAATTTATATTTTCCCCAAATATCTTCATGAAATTTCCATAAATCTACTGATAGCACAAAAAAATTGTGATTTTGAATGTAAGAAATGTAGATCAACATAAATTTAAACATTTGAGAAAAAAATCACAAGATATTATAAAAGATTGAAAAAATTTACCTATTTTTGCCATATTTTTTCAAAATTTGAAAAATGTTTAAAAAAAATTAACAATTCACACTTGTTTCTTACAAACTTTTACAAATCTAGCACTCTAGGAATGAAGTTTGGAGTTTTGTAGTCATTTGCGAGTGAATGAAGGCTTATTTTKGGGAAAAGAAGCTTGCTTTCCCCCTTTAATTTTTTTTTTTTTTTAGTTTTTGGCCGTATCTTTTTCGTTGATATGCTACCGATACGCCCCCGATACACCCCCGATACACATGAAAAAAGACAAAATATCCAATTTCCATGCGTATCCTGTACCAATTTTTGAAAGATACGATACGGTACGCCCTGTATCGGACGTATCGTATTGAAATTTTAAACCTTGCTTATGCCTTTGTATGCCTCATACCTTTGAAGCGGATTTGTGCTTCTTTCTAATAAAGGCTTAGCCTCATATTAAAGCAAAACCTATACCATGGTTTTCAAAATTAGACCGGACTAGATGGTCAGACCGAAAAAACTGGGAACTAATCAGGTGATCGATTCCATTTTAACACAAAACTGTTATTTTGCCAAAAACTGTTGATTTGGTTAACAAACCGTTGACCCGAGCGATCGAACTGTTCAACGGTTTTGGCCATTTTTTTATCAAAATGGGTTGTCCATTCAATTCAAACAGTCAGACTGTTTGACCCGATAACTGGACCCTAACCGGTTTATTGTCCAGTTCAATTTTAAAAACCTTGACCTATACACCTCACCTCAAGCTATCAACCTCATCCCTCAATACTTAAGCAAACTATGCTCTAAACCTTGTTAACTATAAAAGTTGTTTTTGGTCTTTGGGGCAAGGTGTTACAGCCACCTCCACCTAATCAATACAGCAACAAAGGGTGGCTATATATAACTTGAGAAAGGATTAGCTGAATTTGACTTCATTAATCTATTTCCTCTATATTAGAAAAAGAAAAGGAAAGGATTACCTGAATTTTATAGCTATTTTACTGGCCGTAGGACCAAAGCATTTGATAGGGCTGTTCATAAGAAGACCCAAACCGACCAAAYCGACCAACCTGGTCCGATCCAACCCAAGTTGGTCAGTTTTTCTTAGTATCGGTCGGTTTCGAGTTAAAAAAAAACATAAACCGATAGTTCGGTTTGATTTCGGTTTTCATGTATGAAAATCGAAATTGAACCGATTCGAACCGACTTAGATATATATTATATATAATATATTTCAGATATATTATATATATATTTGATATATTTCAATTTTACTATATATATTTCAGATATATATTTGTGGAAATATATATATTTCAGCTTTATTTCAGAAATATACATATTATATATAAAATTTCTGATATATAAAATATTAGTTTTAATCTATCAAATCATTTTTAATTTTCAGGCATCTAGCCTTTGCTTTGTTAGAATTAAATCCTTTACCGTTCACACCGAGAGAATCATTCACAAAACCGACCCAAACCGATTCAAACCGACCATGTTGGTTTTACTTAGTACTGAGTCGGTTTCGGTTTCATTTCTAGGTAAACCGACAAGGTCGGATCGGTTGGAAAAACGCCAATAAACCGACCCAACCTGACCCATGAACAGCCCTAGCATTTGACCCACAATCGCACAATCTCATATTTGGAAGGTGCCAATCGGTTGATTGGTAAGGTCACTGGCTCTGTAACGGATGCATCTGGATTGGGGGATGGGCTACCACACGTTGTGCAGCACTTGCAAGAAAAAAAATCTCGTAATCATGACTGGTATGGGCTACCCCACGTTGTGTAGCACTTACAGCGGGTTCAAACGGGTGAACCTTTCGATAGCTGTTTGGTGATCTTCTGAACTAGCTGGCCCAAACAGATTTAAGTAACTTTGGATACATCAGGCATTAAGACTCTAATCAATTACCTCTCTCTGATTTTCATGATGACCCCATCTCATCAAGCCTATCATTGATGAATTTTGTTTGTTTAAAACTGGATCCTTCCTCGAACCAAGGTCCTTCGTTCGTCGAGGACAACGACCCCAATGACCTTTTAAAATAGGGAAAAGTACTAGCAGGCCCATTGCAGAAATCTGAACATCAAGCCAGCCCATACAGAATTTACAATGATTCTCAAATTCAACTTTTGAAATTATAAGACCGATTCCCATGTCATGTAAGCGCCATACTTCTGCCTATGTTTTTTCTGTAAGGTGGCAATCCAACTCGGATTACATGTCACAATAACATTTATTTAAAATTTTATTTTGAAATTTACCCTTAAATTGYAAAGACTAAAATAACCCTATTAGGGCCCACGACCATTGTTCTCTCCCGCCCTCTCTATCCTCTGTAAGAACCTGCAAGAAGCCAAGCAAATCCATGCTCTCATGATCAAATCACGGTTTAGCTAGCCGAGTAGGTATCAGAGGTTTGAGAGGATTTGATCTTGAGAGCATGGATTTACTTGGCTTCTTGCAGGTTCTTATAGAGGACTAAGAGAGAGACGTCGTCGAGGAAAAAGTTGTAGTCGAAGAGAAGAGAGTTGAGAGTGTGAGATAACGAAAGAGAGAGAATAGTGAGGGCGGGAGAGAACAATGGCCGTGGGCCCTAACAAGGTCATTTTAGTCTTTGCAATTTAAGGGTAAATTTTAAAATAAAATTTTAAATAAATGTTATTGTGACRTGTAATATGAGTTGGAAAAAAAAATAGGTAGAAGTGTGACGCTGACTTGGCGTGGGAATCGGCAATGGGCCTGCTCGTACTTTTCCCTTTAAACTACTTACCCCGTCAAGAGTGGAGAAGATCCATCCAACCAGACCAGACTCCAGACTCCGAGCAGTTCCAGTTCTACTGTTCGATGTCCATGGAGAAAAGTCCTTCATCTGGGTTCCTAAGCCAAGATCTAGGCCTTGACATAGCCCAGACCTTCTTCAAGCCCATCCATCAAACGGAGCCCCCATCTCCCACCAAGCGTCACATAAAGATCACCGTCATCGGTACCGGAAACGTTGGCATGGCCATTGCTCAGACCATCCTAACCCAGGATCTTGCCGACGAACTCGCCCTCGTCGACGCCAAGCCCGACAAACTCCGTGGTGAGATGCTCGATCTCCAGCACGCCGCTGCCTTCTTGCCGCGTACCAAAATTGTCGCCTCGGTAGACTACGACGTTACTGCTGGATCGGACCTCTGCATCGTGACGGCGGGAGCGCGTCAGAACCCCGGTGAGTCGAGGCTGAGTCTACTTCACCGGAACGTGGCACTCTTCCGGAATATAATACAACCGCTAGCACAGCACTCGCCAGATTCGATATTGATGATAGTTTCCAATCCGGTGGATATTTTGACATATGTCGCCTGGAAGATCTCTGGTTTTCCTTCTAACCGGGTGATTGGATCGGGGACGAATCTTGACTCGTCGAGGTTCCGATTTCTGATAGCGGATCATCTGGACGTGAACGCTCAGGATGTTCAGGTAACTTTTTTTAGTAAATAATTAATTATTAAAATAGATGCTCGATAATTAAAGGTCGATCTTCGATTGATCATCCGATGATATGGTGGGGCATCCCCATTTATTCCTGGACTCTTGATTGGTTGCTTAGAATTAGATTACAAGGACATCCACTACGCATTTAGGCGTGACGGACTGACGAGGTCCCGGTTGTCTGAAACCGAGCGCCGGTAAATTAGATGCCGCGTTTAGCTTGGCACGCACGTCACCACTTTTTGCAGACTTTAGACTTTAAATTAGAGCTTTGGAAGTTCAAGAATAAACGGAGGTACACCGTACTCATATAACAATGAACAAGGAGACCTGGAAGACGAGTCCGTGATAATGTGCGGGATACGTTAGCGTTAGTATAGGTGTGCGGTGAAAAAGTAATTAGAAACAATATTTTTTTGTCCAAACAGCCAAACTTTTCTCGCCGAATGGTCCGGTGCTTCTTAAATCGTCATCTTTCCACGTGACGACTTTGTGCCACTGAGCAGTGGTTTGAAGAGAAAATAAATAAATAAATAAAAGAATGTGGTTTGTCTTTGTTGGTAAATGGCTTGGGCCTTGGGTGCTTGTTTATATTAGTTGGAAGAGCTTGTACGTAGCACGTGCGTGATTAGCTTTTGACACTACAATAAACAATCACATAGCTATAGCCTATAGCTAGTGACATGCGTGGATGGACAAATTAGAAATCAAACTGATTGGGGCCCCTGCACTTCAATTCTTACTCCCATCCTTTTATTGGGTTGGGCCCATTGTCCTTTGTTTAGTGCTATTAACCCATCAATATGGGAAAGAAAGTCCAATACTAGATTACAAGATTAGGTACAGGTCTGATGTGGACTGTGGACTTTGTAAATGGGCCTCATGAAGTCATGATTTGTTAGTTTGGATATGCTCCTCACACAGTGCGTTCCACACCGACATTTCCCATAAATATTAAATAGAAATACAGTGATGCTCCCGATGTACGGCCTAAAATCATGTGAAGTCGATGTAAGGTGCGCCCTGTGAGATGCAGATCTTGACTGAGTGCGCCCCATATGCACTCCACTGCACATCCTCCATACATTGGGAACATCTCCCCTTGTCTCCACTCTCCAACTAGTATTTTTAGATTTTACACCGTTTTGGGTCGGGCTTTCAGTCTGGGCCCATTCAATTTTTGATAAAAGCCCAATCCAAATTGTCACTGGGCTTGGTTCAGCTAATAAGAAACAGAGAACCTCTGTCCCGTTTGATCAGGGACCATTTTTTCACTGGGCTTGGATCTGCTACACACCCACCCATAAGAAATTGTTGCCGCACATGGAGGACATCTATTGTACTGGTGTGTTGTCATTCACGGTTGCACTTGCACAGATATAGTCTCTTGTGGATAGTGTGGGTAGCAGATCTAGAATCCTTTCCTTTTTTTTACTACCTTGTTCCACAGAGGGCAAGTGCATGTGGGGCAAGTGCTTTTTCACGGTTGCACTTTTTTGCAACCAGATCAGATTGGCACCCTACAGAGAGCATCCKACAAGCGCCCCACAGCACCTCTAACCCATGTATTGGGAATATCTCGCCATCATAAGTACAAGAGATGTTTTCAATGCACGCTGAGATGTTCATGTGGGGCGCCAATATGATTTCCTTTGCAACTCCCAACAAAACATAGACACACCATCGGTAGAGAGAGATCATTATGTACTTTTAAATTAAAAAAAAAAATTAATGTGTTTATGTTTTATTGGGGTTGGCAAGAAAGTGCTGTGCCCGTGGTCTCAACAGATGTATTCAGATTCTCTATGCCCCAAGCCCCCAACTTATGTTGAGATATTCTTTTATTAACATCAGCAATTTAAAGTTGTAATATAATTTGGAAAAGTTTAGTCATTGTATTGTCTCTTACTCTTTGGGTGAAGCTTCTATTGTCTCTTACCCTTGAAGTTCTTAGTGTTGGCTTTGTTTCACTGTATTGTCTCTCATTCGGTGAATTATTCTTTTCCCTAACGCATCTTCTTGTTAGGCATATATTGTTGGGGAGCATGGTGATAGCTCGGTGGCACTATGGTCGAGCATAAGTGTAGGAGGAGTGCCGGTACTGAGCTTTCTTGAGAAGCAACAGATTGCATACGAGAAGGAAACGCTAGAGAAGATCCACAAGACAGTGATAGAGAGTGCGTATGAGGTGATACGTCTCAAGGGTTACACTTCTTGGGCAATTGGGTATTCAGTTGCTAACCTTGCTCGATCTGTATTGAGGAACCAAAGAAGGATCCACCCCGTCTCTGTTCTTGCCAAAGGCTTCTACGGGATTGATGGTGGGGAGGTGTTCTTGAGCTTACCAGCTCAGCTTGGAAGGGGTGGTGTCCTGGGCGTGACCAACGTGCACCTGACGGAGGAGGAGGAACAACAGCTCCGTGATTCAGCAAAGACACTTTTGGAGGTCCAAAATCAGCTTGGTTTGTAGTAATATATACTATTGTTTTTCTTCAAATTTCCAGAGTCTACTACAGTCTGCTTTCCTACTTTCAAGTGGACGTCTTGTGCTTGTAAGAGAGAACTCCCATTTCATTTTCATGAAGGAAAATCAAGTATCCAAGCAAGGTCGTTGGTTGATTTATGCAGTGCCTGGCATATACACAGAACAAAAATTTCCCATCCAGCCAATCCCTTCAGGTCTTTCGAGCTGTTTGAATCTAAAACTTAATAAGCAATGCATATTTGCAAGTTTTGCATGTCGAAATGCACTACCAATGGATCAATGCCTTCAACCTCTGAAGCTTACCAGTCTCTCTTTTTTTCTCTGCCATCTGGGACACATCCGATATCTTTCTTGCAGTGGCTTGTTGCTGCTTCACCTTTTCTTCGTTGGCCTTTCTCTGTATACTTTTAATTTCCTTCTGCATCTTCTCCTGGGCTTTCAGTCGTTTCTTCTCCAACTTGGCCTGCTTAAATGACATACCTTGCAATTTTCAATTCTACCTATTGTACAGCCTAGTTGACTTTGCCGTTGATTTTTAGCAGTGAGAACCAAGTTACTGCATCCACACTCCCTGTAACCACCAATCTGAATCATTGAAATGCCCAATTACCTTACAGAAAGAATATTTAGTCATCCTTCCACCAAAGATTTTCCTTTCTTAATGGTGGTAGAACATTTGAATGATCCAGTTGATGACCACAAGAATATGGATTACAGAAATAACATCCATGGTCTGAAACCAAAGTTCAGTTCCACCTTTACTATACTGAATCTAGTAGTAACAGCAAAATTGGCAATAAAGGTTACCTCGACTTCAGTCATTTCCATGCCAACTCTTGCTGTCTCCTTGATCTCCCATAAATTTATTAAAGCTTCCTTCCTTCTCAGTCTGTACATAAGAAATGGAGATGTCAAGTGTCTAGTTATGTAAAGTTCCATTCCTTGTTATGTAACTGCCCATATTTGTTTACTGTTTTACTTTAAAGGGTCAGCTGTTGAACCTGAAAGGGGACCAACCAGTACTGTAAGGTATCTACTAGTTAGAATTTTCTTACCAAGCTCTCCCCATTTCCCCGATCATCCATGTTCAACAGGAAAGCAAGCCTGGACAGGTCAATTCTATTTACAGTCCCCAGGTTTGCTAGAACTTTCCAGGTTAGGTACCTGTTCTAACCATTACTGGTTCTACTTTTGGGCATTCCAGCTATTGTGACAGCGGTCTATAATATGCACACTGCTTTTCTCATCATTCTCATGCCTATAACTAATTCACCTACCCACCTGATACCCAAATAAGAATTATGCTGACCAAATGAAGCATCAGAAAGTTAACCAAATCTGAGACACATATATCTCTATCTGCTTGTGGGTTTGAATTAAGGAGAAGATTCCATACTTGTCCATGAGTTTGTTTGATTTRGMAGTCTTCCACTCATCGAGTTTGGCTTCAATTTTGTTCCTCTTGATTCCAGATATGAACTCATGGAAATGTCTTTTACCCAGTTCAGCTGTAGGCCCATTGTTCCCGTTTAGTCCATCCACATTAGATGCCCCGCATGTGCTGACGGATATATCTGTATAATCAACATCCAAATTCAAATATGACCTACATACATTCATGGACAAACTAAAAGAATTCAAAACAGATCATAACTATTTTGGATAAACACGATGCAGAGTACAAACCGAGGGATAAATTGGATACAGAGGGAGCCTCTCCGATTGAATTCTTGTGGCCTTGATTCTCTTTTCTTTCCTTGTTGCTATGCTGCGATTGGTAGGTGCTGTAATTAATGGGTTGGTTGCTGCTGATTCTGTGCATCTCCTGATGAGTGCTGCAGTTGATGGGTTCGCTGCTGGCTGACACACTAATCGTGCTGGGCTCGCATAGAAGTAGCCTTCTATATGTCCGAACTGACTTGGCCTTTTGATTCGGTTTGTTTCTTGGACAGCATTCTTGCTTAGCATGTTCACCAACTAACACAAAAATGGAAAAGGGATGAAGGATTCATAGAAAAATCCCAAAGAGATATTGGCAGGAAAGAAATTAAAAAAACAAAAGTAATTTTAACACAAATGGAATTTAAGTGGATGAATATTAAAGAAAAACCTTTGGAAGGTAAACGATAGTTGTTCACGTTCTCGGTCTCTTCTTTGGATGGCGGTTTCTGATCCTCATCCGAGAGAACACTAAACCACTGGAATGCAACGAAACACCATAAATATGAAAATGAGAGAACACGAGTGGTGGACTTAAGCATCTGAGTCAATGGTTCTTGAATCATTACCTGATTCGTTTGGGGTGAAGACTCAATGGGAACTTGAAACAAGTGATGCTCCGAAGTAACAGAGGACGACCCCAGGTACACAGGACTGCAAACAGGGGGAGGAGAAGATAGGGTGTGGAAAGTCTCCGGGCTCCATGTGCCTGTGCTAACCCATCCGTCGTGTTTCACTCCGAACGTCTCCGCTGAACGTGTAGAAGCATCGGCAGCGGACTTAGCACCTTCCCAGACGCTCATGGCTGATGGCTCGTATAGACTGAAGCAACCTGAACTTGTACTGCTGAATGCGGAAGAAACAGTAGATATATAATCTTGCTGAATGCATTAATTTTCTTGAGTTTCCTTTCGGTTTTCTTGTCTTGGTCTTGGATTGACGGGGAGGAGGTGAATCAGGTGATCAGATCACAACAAAATATCAGAAATTCAGAATAGACTCTGTGTGATCGGGTCTTCGATTGTCTATTTGTTGCCAACAAGTGTCACCGCACCTAAACCAGAGCCCAGAGGATACCCAACAAAATATTATTCAATAAGAATAAATAATACAAAATATAATGTGCAATCAAGAAATTGGCATCAATAGAGTTTATTTTTGTTGGCAGGAAATTATATCTCCCGTTCTTGTGCTCTTTATTACACCTGTAGCAGCAGATCCAGTTACCCAACTTGTAAAATGTTGAGCCCATTTAAGGCCCAATCCCTTGAACATCACATGCCCATGAATTCTCATGGAGTCTTAGGTTTCGTTTGCATCTCCACAAATGATTTATTTGGGTAAATGCATTTTATTCGGCCAATTGTTTTTTAAAAAAACATTTATTTAGATAAAAATATTTCTCAATATTCTTTATTTCCTAAGTAAGTAAAGATGTATAATGACTGATTTATTCAAAAAAGTAATATATTGAAGAGACAAATTATCTCATTATATTTTAGTGATTTTAGCTTGCATGGATAAGTAATTTGTCTAAATATGAGAAAAGTATTATAAATTGCTGGGAAATCATTCTTTTATGTGAAACTCCATAATGCCAAAATAGGAATGTGGATTTATTTATTTTCCACGAGACTAAATATGGTTTACTACCAACAAAACGCTATTAATTCTTTACGCACGAACCACTGTAGCCTCACATTGGGAACATCTACCGCTGCAATCGCTGATTGGTTTGGGATGTTGTTGGCATCGATCCGAACTCCGAAAAGAGTGGCCCATTCATAAGGGGCCATAATGGGCCAAGTCATCATATGATATAGAGGCCCATCAGTAAGGAGATGATGTGGTGTGTATTGGCCCAGAAATGGAAGACTGGCCCATTCGAAAACCACAATATGGCGAAACAAGACGACTCTGGTTTTCGTCCTTTTGGTGGAAATTGGAAAAGCTCGCGCGCTGATCGAAGATGTCAGGAAGATTGAGCAATGTAGCGTCTCGAATCATGGGCGGCAACGGCGTTGTTGGTCGATCCGTCGCTTCCTCTCTTCGCCTCCGCTCCGGCATGGGTCTCCCCGTTGGCAAACACATTGTCCCTGAAAAACCGGTATCAGAAAAAACTCATTTATTAAGCCCTAGAACTATAGGGAAACGAAAGTTAGACTGTTATAGGCTTATGGTTCTCTTCTCTTGATTTAGTAAACCCTAAACTTCCATCAATTTCTACTTTGTATTTTAGCTCCCCGTAAACGATGAGCTGGTTTGGGACAACGGGACTCCATTTCCGGAACCCTGTTTGGACCGGATCGCAGATACAGTTGGAAAGGTACAGCCCCCTGCCTTGAATTGTTTTTTTTTTTGTGTGTATGGGAGTTGAATTTGTTTGTTTTTCGAATTAAGTGCTGATTGTTGGTTACATTTCTAGTATGAAGCATTGGCTTGGTTGTGTGGAGGGTTGGGGTTCTTTGCGTCTCTCGGGCTATTAGCTGTCTGGAATGACAAGGCCTCCRAGATACCATTCGTAAGTTGCAAATCCATGCTCTATACTGTGAACTTGCTAATATCTTTTATTTTTGGTTTAAAAACCGTAGGTTGTAACAGAAATTATCACCCTATTCAATTTCTTATTTGTTGTACCTTATTACTTGTGTGGATGCGGGAAGTGTGTACCTTTTTACTTGTTCATCTGTTAACATGTCACTCACTATGAGTGGAGCCATCAATTAGAAAGACATACCGCCCTATCAGAYTTATCTAATTAGTATGACCAAATTCAAGCATGACTTGAAGTTTTATTTTTCTGATTAACATTTGTAACAGAATATTGAATCGGTATGGTTATTGTGTGAGAAAACAGACCTACAACTCCAAGACCCCTAATGTTCTTTATCCAATTTTGCCATAGAGGAGATGGGAGATGACCTTTCTTTTGGTTGCCGGGGGGTGGGGGAGAGGAATTCCTTGTATCATACATATAGATATGTGGGTCCATATGTGATCCTAGTTTTGTGTTGTGTTTGAATCAAATCACAAGGTTCAATTAGATCATAACTTGGATTGCCCTTGTAAAAATTGCATGGAACACATCCATCTGCTATCTTCTTTCTGTAAATTTTCCTTTCCCCCACTTTTTTTTTTCTTGATCAGTAACAACAAGATTTATATTAAAGATTAAAAAGATAGACACAAGAGGTACAATATACACACAGACATTGAGAGACAAACAGATTTGTCTCTCCCTGAAAACCTATAAGTTTTACCACTGTGCCAGAACAGACTCTCCCTCTCCACCCCTTGCTTGGCTAAACCATCTGCCATAGAGTTAGCAGACCACTTAACCCATTGGACCTTTACTTTCACATCTTTTGTTATCCATTTGAATTTCTTTTTTAGAGAACTATAGATCCACATCCTCTATCATTGCACCACAACCAACTTACCACCTGTTTGGAATCTCCTTTCCCCCACTTTTGAGTATAGTACTTATAGCAAAACCATGGGAGGAACATGTAGAATWGGAAAGTTCAAATTTTGAAATATTTACTAAAACTTTCTTGCAGTTAATCATCCAGAAAAGAAAGATTTGAGATGTCAATTCAACAAGGTATTATTTTAATACCTTGTGTTAAAAAGTTGGGAACACGTAGATCTCAAAAAGTTGCTCAAAATAAAAAAAAAGATCATCCCAATTGGACATCTGAGCACAAAGTTATGGTCTTTAGAATTTTGCATTTATGTGCTAAAAAATTTCAAAAAACAGGCCGTTTTTCTAAAACCGAGACTGGGTCTTTGGCTTTCCGCTTTGACCGTCCGAGTCAGCGGTTTTGGCCAGTTTGTACCCAACCGGCTGCTCTGGTCTAGTTTTCTAAACACTAGTTTCAAGTCATCACTATTCTGACATACTTCCATGTACAGATGCACCATTCAGTGATTTAAAAGGCCAAGGCGTAGCCCCTTTTAGAAGGTACACACCTAGTGCACCTGATGCACCTTGTGCCACAGCTCAAGTATGCAACTTGGTTAAATTTTGTGTTTTTTTTTTTTTTTTGTGCTTTTTGAAGCATGGTGGCTGGTTGTAGGTCAGGGGTTTTGTTGTGCGGAGATATAAGAGATCTTGTCTCTCACTGACTTTTTATTTCATACGCTTTTTATATCTTTGCTCTGTAAAATTTTCTTTTTATTTCTTTAATAAATTATGCAGTTATTGATTAAAAAAATTAAAAAATGCTAGTTTGTTGTTATAATTGTTACTTTGGAGGGATATATCATTTTTAGTATCAGGATGAGCATCCAAAGTGGAGGATATCTGCCAGGGTGCAACAAAAGCAAAATCAGACAAGAACATCAATGTGGTTGTAAAAGATTTAAGTAGAAGAAGAGAAAAGAAAGCTGAACCGTTTTTAACACTCAAAAAGAGGGTATTCTGGACTGCAAGTCGGTTTGCCTGATTTTTGAATAGTTTCAACTACATTGAGCTCAGGTTAGGATTTGGGCCCTTTGAAAATTTAACAATTTCCCTACCCAACCCTGCCCAAGTTGCACACCTAGTTGGGTGTATAGATTTTTAATAAGACTATTTCATAGTAAACCTTTCCACAATTTGATATGTTCCAATTTGCCTAGGTAGGTGGAACAAATTCCATGACTGTCAAGGTAATTAGGTGAATCTAGTTTCTAGGTGTCTTTATTATGTACTTCATAGCTTGGTGATCCAGTAATCTCTAGGATTTTGCATTATATAGCGTGTACAATAATACAATAAGATGCATGAAATCGCTAAAATAAGATGATAACGAAAATATATTTGTATGTAATTGAAAGAAACATGTTGAGCTTCATATTGTAATGGTATATATATCAGAGCATCATAGTAATTGAAAAGCAATGTGACTTACAACAGTAAATTAGTAATTGAAMAAATCAGAGAAAGAATATTTCAACAAATAAGCAACATAGAAAATATGAAGACCCTATCCTCTCTTCTTTTCATCAAAGTTATGGAGGCCCTAAGCAAGCTTGTTCTTCGGGCAGCTGAGGGAGGTTTTATCCAAGGTTTTAAAGTGGGGGTGGGTAGAGACCAATTTTCCTTACTACAGTTTTCTGATGACATCATTTTCTTTCTTGACTCTTCAGCCGATCAGTTGACTTCTCTAGGCTTCATTTTAAGGTGGTTTTAAGCTGTCTCAGGTCTCAAGATTAACCTTTCTAAGAGTGCACTCTTAAAGACTGAAGATGGGCTACCTGACCCCACTTTGGTTAGCATTCTAGGCTGCAAGGTAGGGAAACTACCCTCCACCTATCTTGCCCTTCCCCTGGGCGCTAGGTGCAGTTCTAAGATCTGGGACCCTGTTATTGACAGATTTGATAAGAAACTTTCTCTATGGAAACCTAAATACCTTTCAAAAGGAGATAAGCTCACCTTAATCTGGAGTGTTCTTTCTTCATTCCCTATCTACTATCTGTCTTTATTCCAGATGCCTGTAAATGTTGCAAAGGTCCTAGAGAAGAAAACGAGGGACTTCATTTGGGTGGGTTGGAGGAACACCTTCAAATTCAACTTGGTGAACTGGAAATTTGTGTGCCAGCCTAGAAAACTCGGAGGCCTCGGCATCAGAAATCTCAAAATGGTAAATAAGGCCCTTTTGGGTAAGTGGTGCTGGAGGTTCAACAAGGAAAGATACAGCCTCTGGAGAAGGTTATTGAAGACAAATATGAGCTTAGAAATTTTGGTTGGGACTCTGGTCCTAGTCTATCTCCTAAGGGATGTGCTTTATGGAGTAACATAGCCTCTATTCTCCCTGTTTTCTTGAGGGGTATCAGATGCAATGTTGGTAAAGGCAATTGGCCCAAATTCTGGCATGACAGGTGGTGTGGAAACCAGACTCTACAGGAGAGATTTCCTTCTCTTTACGAGATTGCTCTTGACAAGGATGCTGTGGTTGAAGACTGTTTGATTCTGTGAATGGGGAGGCTATTTGGAGTCCCACTTTCAGACAGAAACCTCAATGATTGGGAAATCGGTCCTCTATTTGAGCTGTTAAATCTAATTCAAAGCATCTAGCCTAATCTACAGACTGAAGATGAAAGATTTTGGGCTTGGAGCTAGGGATGAGCATTCGGTGTATTCGGTTAAAAACTGAACTGAATAAACCGAAATAACCGAAACCGAAATTTTCGGTTCGGTTTTTGGTTATTTCGGTTAAAACCGAATTTAATTAATATACATAAAATATTATATATTATAACTTATAATATATAATATATATTATGAAACTGAATTTCATAATAATAATAATAATATATTAAAACAAAAACTGAAATTCCTAAAAACCAAATTAACCAAAAACCTTAAAAACTGAAACTGAAATTTTTGGTTTGGTTTTAACCGAATAATGCTCACCCCTACTTGGAGCCCCTCAGGAAAGTTCTCCCCTCAGTCGTTCTACATTAACTTGCTTCCATGTGAGGGTACTGACTTCCCACGGGCCTTGATATGGAATTTGTATGCCCTTCTAAGGTTTCCTTTCTGGCTTGGACTGCTGTGTTGGGTAAATGTCTTACCACTGATCGGCTGCTCAGAAGGGGGATGCCCCTACCGAACATCCTTTGCCCTCTATGCAATGAAGTTCCTGAATCCTCCAACCATCTGTTCATTCACTGCAGCTTCTCCTCCCAGCTGTGGGATTTGGCTTTCTCCTGCTTTGGAGTCCATTCTTGCCTACCTGATTCAGCCCTTCAGCTCTTGCAAGGATGGTCTCTTAAGGGTTTGAACAACAGGGTAAATCAATTTGGAGGACTTTCCCTTCTGCCATCATTTGGGCCCTCTGGAGGGAAAGGAACAGTCAAATTTTTTACAACTCTTTTTCTGATGTAGTTTCAGTAAAAAACAAGGTTATACAAAGGGCATTCAGGGGTGTCCAGCTTTACTCTTTTTTGCAAGCCGGACCTTTCTTTTGTTGACACTCTGTATATTCCCATTGTACAGGCTCTCATTGTACATGGGCTGCTACTCTTTATTTTAATACAATTCAATACTTTACCTGTTTCAAAAAAAAAAAAAAAAAGAAAATATGAACTATTAGACACCAGCTCAACAAATGGAAATCTGATAATCTCTTTGGATGCTGTCAATCAGTGAATTCCCTTAAGAAAGTGGAGAATAGAGTTTGGTCCATGTATTCCAGATCACTGATTTAAAAGGCGCGCCTCAGGCGCGTATAGGCACATAGGCGAGGCGCATTTTGGGGTATGCGCCTCACCCAGGTCCTAGGCGCACTTCTTTCAAAAGGCGCGCGCCTGGCGCACCTTGCGCCTCAGCCCAGGCATGCGCCTTTTTAAAATTTTGCGCTTTTTGCTTTTTTTTTGAGTCTAATGGCTGGGTTGGGGGCTCTGCCCCCGGACCCCCGACCACGCCCCTCGAGGCAAGCCCGAACAAGTCTATGTTAGGGTCTGAAATTCTTATTTCTCACATAAAAAATATGAAAGTTGTAAAATAATTATTTTGTTCATTCATTCATTGCAATTAAATATCTTCCTAAAAGGCAATGAAAGTTGTAAAATCATTATTTTTTATGTGAGAAATAAGAATTTCAGACCCTAACATAGACTTGTTCGGGTTTGCCTCAAGGGGTGTGCTACAAAGGCGACTCAGAATCAAGAATGCAATATGTTTTACATCACATTAACCACTTGAAGCAATGAAATTAAGGAAAAAAAGAGATTGTGGGTTTTACATGCTTGAAAATGCTTTATATGTTTGCTTTTATTTTTAAATTTTCATTTGAATACACTTTACATGTTATGTTTATGTATTTTAATTTTAGATAATAGGTTTTTTAAATCATTTATTTTAAAAATTAAGTTTATATTTTTATTAACATTATGTTTATTATTTTTTACTTTTTTTGGCATTTTATTTTGGAATTTTCTGACTTTTTTTTTTATTTTTTAGCTTTTTTTTTGTAATTTTGTGCCTTTCTTAAAAAGGCGCACGCCTCGCCTTGCGCCTCAGGCACAAATTGGCCATTGTGCTTTTTTTGCGCCTTGCGCTTTTAAAACACTGTTCCAGATGTGATTGGGCCCAAGCTTTGAGTGCCATTTTAATGATTGGGATCTGACCTCCTAGCTGATCTTTTGGGCTGGCATTCAACAAGTGAAGAACTGAMGATTTCTCCTTTGCAAGTAGATCAAAGTACTTGGTCCTCAAATCACAGAGGTTATCCCCTGGGTGGAATTCCATTCTCATTTTCTTTTAGGGAAAGCTCAAATTTATTCATTGAGATTGCTCCTTTGAGGTTTGGTTACATTATTTCATGGCATTTTGGGAGACAATAGCTCATCCCAAGAGATCTGGCCATACATGCTATGCTTGGTCTTTTAATCATTTCAACAAAATGGGACACATCCTCCTTTTTGGTCTTTGTTTCAACCTTACTGTAATAGGTTGAAACCATACTTACCCATTATGACTGGTGCAGCCAATGACCACATGGACCCCAGTTTTAAAAGTAAAATCAAAGCTATTTTAATAGGAATAACAAGATCAAAGCTGCTTTAATAAACAAATGAAAGCCAAGCAGGATACAGTTCAACCTTTCTACTCAAGATTGAGGAATTATTCCTATCCTCTTGCGAATCCATCTTCCAGGGAGTTGTCTCATCTTGGAATCCAACTGACTGAGGTTTTTGTTCTGGCTGCCAATGATCTAGCTTACATATTGAAATGTTTTAGCACCAAGTCCCTTTCAATATCAATATGAACCAGCTAATTACCACAAATGAGTACTGCTCCATTTCTAGTCCTTTAAGGCCAAGTGAATAACCGGTTCTCAACCCTTCTGCTGGCAACATGATCTCATCCTTAATGGCTGTTGTTTCCTCGGTAGGATCCAAGTGCACCGCAATCACTTCCTAATGCATTCTTTGATTTTATCATTTGCTTTTCAAGATGAGGCCAAATAATAAAATGAATACAACTCCTAAACATTGATTATTTTTTGTGTTGGAAAAGTAACATTGGTTAATTTTTAGCTGAATAATCATCTGCCCAAGCTGATGATTTCTTTCCTTTTTTTGTAATAAAATATTTTCTTTAAAATATGAATACCAGAATAAAAAGAATACAACTCCTAAACATTGATTATTTTGTGTTGGAAAAGTAACATTGATAAATTTTTAGTTGAATAATCATTTTCCCAAGCGGATTTTTTACCTTGTTAATCCTTGAGGTTGGACCCATTGGATGATGGGTCCCTGATTGTGCTAATGTTGAAGCACATGTTGAGTTATGGTRCTCTCACTCTGATCTTCTAGCCAGATTGAAAAGAGTGCCTTCTTCACCTTTCTATATTTTTTCTCTTGTAATTCCAACTCATAGGCAAACTGAATACCTCCTCCACCCTGGTGATGAAGCCGCCCCCCTGCNCCCCTCCAACACGAACCCATAATACAATTCTCCTTTTGCTGAAGGTCTGAATCTAACAGAACTTACCAAGTTTATTAACTTGCCTATAAGATGAATATTTTGTTTTTTTCCTCAAAAAAAGTTTTTTATTTCAGCTAAAGTTAAGGACAAATTGAATCAAACTACCATGTAATAAATAAGATCCACATTAGGTGGCATTAGATGATTGAATTGTATTGTCCATGTCTCAGAAAATTAAGATGAGACACCTTTAGTTTTCTTTTTGCTTATCCCCTTTGTAGTTACCTTAAAACCGATATACCTTCACTTGTTTGGTGTTTCTTTGTTCTTTATTATGGAGCTACCACTTTGTTTAGATGCATTTTGCATTATGTTCGTTATGGAGCTACCACTTGTTTTGGTTGCATTGCTGTGAAGATTCTAATTGCAGGTTCTTGCTACTTAATGCTTTCTAATTCTGCTGTTGGTGGTTTCTCTTTTCATCTTCTTGTCAGACACCAAAAGTATATCCATATGACAATCTGCGAGTGGAGCTGGGGGGAGAGCCATAGGTAGCTTGGTTGATTGTTTCTCCAAGTGTTATTACTTATTAGATCAGTAGTGCACCTCATGTATTTTTCCTTTTGTTTACTGTGTTTCTCTGTTTGAACAATTTTAACAAATGGAAATAATGCATTTCTTGTCATTGAATTTGAAATACCATTTTTAGTAATTGAAGGAACACATATTGGCTGTTGCTGCACTCACTTGCAGCATGATGTTGGAATGGGTTGTTATCTGTTGGAGGTCTTGTTGCATCTATTTGATGTTTGATTTTCATAATGTAGAATAAGTTATTGAATGCTATGGGTCTGTGGTTTTCTTTAGGGTCCTGATAAAAAAATAACAGAAAAGAAAAAACTATTGCATGCCATGACAAACAGAGTTTACGACAAATGGGGCCTGGCAGCTGGCAGGGTCCATGATCCATCTGGTTAGATGGGTTTCATCATTTCATATGCAGAAGATATGATGACATGGCTTCTAATGGGAGCATTATTCAGGCCGGTCGATCAACATTGCAAATATCTTGACATACACAAAATGTCATACTGTGTCAGGTTAGTTTGATGACAGGTGCTGCTATCTATCGTCAATTGACATATCACTTGTCTGACCTGGCATAACACCACGACCCACGGGATATATCACATTCACATAGCAGCCTGAGCTAATTTGGGTAATTGGGGTTTTGCGTGGAAGGTCGAACCTAGCTAGCCTGAACACAATTTTGGGGTGGCGTGCGAGTTTAGTGTAAGCTTCAATCATGTCTTATTTATCCAAACTATCCAGTTTCCAAGTTGTGTAATTGACGACATGGGCATCCCCTATCTAACAACTAACTTGGCTTTTAACCATGATTAAATGGATTGCTTTTATTTATGGGGTAGCGATCCCTAGACATTTGTATATATTATTCTATTTTCTTTAATGCATTTTCCTTTTAGTTATGGATAAAAAGAAACTTGTGTAATTGAGGTGGATGCCACCAGATAATTTATCCCTCTCATTTATGATTTAACCAACCCATCTAATTTCTTTATGCGCTTCCAGAATTCCATTAACAAGCTCTATGCTACATGATTTTTTGGAGTTTCAGCTTTTGCAGCTTCATTAAAATGTCCAAATTCCAAGTTATAGCAGGGGCAGAGAACCATGATTTAATACCTCATTGCCTCTGGCTATCATTAATGAATTGAAAACCTTAACTTTGAAAATTGAAATGCTCCTTGGGACTGGAATTCTAATTCTGGACCAGTGAGTTTTTCAATTCAAGTAGAGATGGGACCCAAAATTTGAAACGAATTGCGACTTTCAACGTTGAAACTCATCGATTTGCACTGCAGTTGAAGTATTATTGAGAGGTGGCAGCGTTTCATTTAATTATGAATTATCCACCTTGAAGAGGTCGACAAGCCTCTCTCAAGCGTCCAGCCCTGTCTTCATTTTCTGAGCCAATATGGCTCCCACACTAGAGCTTTTCCTTTTTCTATCTAATCAAACTCTAATAATTCTTTTCTTTCTATTCGTTTCCACTCTACTGAATTATACTGAGAATCGTTAGTTAAGTAAAAATATCAACCGATCGAGGGGATAAAGCAGTGCAGATGCATGTGATGAGTCAGCATCACCGTGTCTTGTCCTCCCATGGTACCTCAGACACAGAGAGCTCTTGAAGCAGACAACTTGGACGGTTATGGCGGAGTCGGCATGAACATGGAGACGGGATCTGCTCTTCACACTTGGGCGCCTCACATGCATATACATGATGAGCTTATTTTACTCTTGCCGCATACAGTCATACACCCTTGCCGCGTGGACCCTTGAGCATTCAAGCCGCGTAAATGATTATCACTACGACCTGCAGCTGCTTCAATAATCTCTAATCCAGCGTTATTTGTTTCTCATGTGCTTGCTTCATGAACCCATTAAGCTAGTGTTGTTTTATTTAAATGCAATTATTTGTTTTCTTTGATCGTTCATAATAGATAGGGAAGCTAGGGGAAGCTTCAGCTAGAGATCAGTGCGGCCTTGTTGTAACAAATTAAAGGAATGCAAATAAATGGAGATTTTGTTGATCTGGTTCAATTTTTTTGTTTCTTTAATTGGGCCTACTATGTGGAACATAGTATTCTTTGGTGTTTAATATATGATATTTGGTTCCATCCATGAAAAAAAAATACTCTTCTTTCAACCCATATGACTGTGTGGCCCCCCCTTTGCACATGTGTACAACTGGAACTCTTCCACAATTTGGTCTTTTCATTTTTCTTTTTTTGATTGTGACTCAGTGAAGCGGTCCCTCCCATGATACTACTGCTTCTCCATCACATCTTGTGGGTTTCTTCAGTTGATTGGGATCTAAAGCTTGAAGTTTTCATGATCGCTTCTGATCTCCTTGTTGAGTTTGAGCCTGCTTGAGAATGTTTCCGTGTTTGGGAATATTGACTGATCATTCATTTTATAAAGAATCTCAAAATCAAGCCGGACCCAGACAAAGCCACCGAGCTGATACAATTGAATCTGGTTTACTTGACAAAAAATATTACTAAGGCAGAACAATAGCATTGAGAGAGAGAGACAGAGAGATGAATGCATGGCTCCTCCTGGCGGCCTGGTCCCCGCCCATGTGTTCTTGTTTGATTTGGCCTGACCATTTTATCACAAGGTTGCTGTCCATAAATTCGAAAACTCAGATAAGTATAACAGAGTAGCTGAGTAAGTAAGAACCACCGGTCACCGACAATCACGGTTACATGACCCCCCTGTCAACAACCGCCCTAGAAAGCCATAAACTTAGAACGTCGTGAAGTGATTTTACTGTAGCAATCGCAACCGGCAACTGTACTTGTGAGTCGTAAACAGTGTCTGGACTCTGGATATATACAGGTATTTGGTACTTGTATACTTGATCCATTTGTCACAAGCTAGCATCGGAGTGACTCATACACGGATATAGTAGAAATGAATCGACGATCTATTTAATTTTCTGCATGAAGGTTTAGATTTAAGTGAGTGTTTTGTATTAACAACTGATTGATTACAGTGCAGAGAAGTGCCAAGTGCCAACCAATCAGTCCGGAAAGCTCCAAAGAATGCATTCCTCCCAAGCTGCACAGCCAGCTAGTTGTGAGACTGTGTGCTAATCCTAGCCAAGGTGGTCACATGGGTCTCTTTGGATATTTTAATCCCAAACGAATCACAATTTGCACCTATAAAACCCTAACCCACTTCACCATTCTGATCACCCACCACCTTTGATTAAGCGCACAAGCACCAGTACTGTCTAACAAACCCTGCTTCTGCCTGTGTGTCCCTGAAACTGAGACTGAGATGGCTTCCAAGGCTGCATCCATTGCCCTTCTCCTCGCCTTCAACCTCCTCTTCTTCACTCTGGTCAGCTCTACCTACGTCCCTTGCCCACCACCCCCAAAGAAGCACACCCCAAAGCTCCCCAAGCCAGGGCCCAAGTACCCTCCGGTTTATCCCAGTTGCCCAAGGGACACCCTGAAGCTTGGTGTCTGTGCCAACCTCTTGAACGATTTGGTGCACCTTGTTGTGGGAACCCCACCAAAGTACCCTTGCTGCAGTCTCATTGAGGGTCTTGCTGACCTTGAAGCCGCTGTCTGCCTTTGCACCGCCATCAAGGCCAACATCTTGGGCATTCACCTCAATGTCCCCGTCTCTTTGAGCTTGCTCTTGAATTACTGTGGAAAGAAGGTGCCCTCTGGCTTCCAATGCGCCTAACTGGACTCTCCTCGATCTTGCTCTACTGCTTCTTACTGCATGCATGCTCTCTGGTATCAGCAAGTGTGAATTACCTATTCTATATTATTCCTTCGCCCAAAGGGGTTTTAGTTTCCTTGTAATTCCTGGTGTTCTCTTCTTTCTTTCTTTCTTTCTTTCTTTTTTTCTCTCTCTTTTTTTGGGTAATCAATCTCTTCTTCTTTGTTTTGTTTGGTGGTCATGAGAAGGCTCCTCACCTTCTCTACATTATTCTGTAGCTTTCTGAATTTAATAAGCATACCAGTCTGTACTCTGTGGCAGTAAAACAAGCAAACCCTTCAGAATGAGATGAACTGCAGAGTTTATTAAATGATGCCGGTGTTAATTAAATTGCATGACTTCTTTCTAAGTTAAATGGCATTTATTTTGTTTGTCATTTTTGTGAGGTGCTAGGTCTTGTGGTTACTTTTGAGTTCTTAATTCTTTGAGAGTTAGCTAGGTAGGAATAATCTCATCACATTTAATTTAGTCGATAACCATCGTAATGTATCATGCCCAAAAACATTCCCAACAGACCAGACCATACTTTGTATGTGGAGCAAAATTTTTATCATTTTATGTTACGAAGAAAGAAAAGACCGCTGTAGGTGGGAAAACTTTAGGTGTTAGGGATGTTCTTGGGCATGACATGTTATCATAACTGCGGGGAGGGGAGTAATTGCATTCAATATTCTTTTTGACCAAAAAGATAACTGAATGATTTAACTTATCATGTTTAAAATAATTAATCCATGTATAATTTTAGAAAATATTTTATTCAATAACAAGGCAAAAAAAAAAGGTAAAAAAGAAACATTGTATGGTTAGAGAGGTGAATTATAAAGGAAAAGGTGTGAAACTAAAGGCAATGAGCTGAGCTTTGAGTCCTATTCATTGGCTCGATTATGAAACGAGCTAAGTTCGAGTCTACTAGAGTCGAGCCCGCGTAATAATAATAATAATAAAATTATTAATTATTATAATTCTTTTCTTTTTTAAATATCAAATAAAAATATTTTTATATATAATTTTTTATTTTTATAAAACATTTTTTCTCAAAATTGAGTTTGAGCCAAGCCGGATCAAGCTTATGAATTTTTTACTTGAGTCAAACTCGAACTTAAGGTTTTGGCTCAAGTCGAATTTGAGTTTAAGCCTTGTAAAATAGCATATGGATTTGTACTTCATCAATTCTAATTCTCATGGGGTGTAGTAAGAAATACTTTTGTAAGAGGAATGATAATTATAAACACGGATACTTGTGAGCATAATTAATGCAGAATAAAGCAAAACCAAAGCACAAAGGCTATATTTGGTTTGAAGGAAAAGATAGAGAAAGGAAGGAAATGATAGGATACAAATTTGATAGAGAAAGGAAGGAAATGATAGGATACAAATTTGTAAAGGCTTCCTTGTATAATGGCATTGACATGTGTAACACACATCCTTGGTGCAAATGCAAAGCAAACCTCGCACAACAAAGCAAATGAAGTTCACACCCTTGCACTATCAAGACACATGATAGACACATGCAGGTCCAGGAATGAAACGGGATCTACTCCCATATCTGCACGTGTTAACTGATACTGATCAGTACACTATCATCTAACGAGAACATTTGTCTCGATAAAAGAATGTGTCTTTCACAAAAATGTACACATAAAACATTGAAAGGGAAAAACCAAAAGAGACAAATAAAAAAAAAAAAAATATATATATATATATATAAACTTGAGAAGGGCCAAACCAGATTTTCTGCCCATTATTCTCTACATGCAGTGAATTGCATGTAGGAAATCTGAGTTCCAGAGGACTGGGGCTCGGTGGCCACAAAATGGCTATAAAAGGGAACACAGCCTCAATTTCGAATATTGGAAATGGCAATATTTTCTGGCATTTTGTCCCCAAGCAAGAGGGATTTCAGAAATTACATCTCTTGTTGGCTTGTCATGGATGTGCTTGGCCGGTTTTTAAAGGATCTTTAAAGCATGATTTTCAAAACGCACAGGAAAACTTGGGAATTGGTCAGGTGACTGGTTTTGTTTTACCTTATAACTGTTATTTTTCCAAAAACTGTTGATTTGGTCAGCAAAGCACTGACTTGGGTGGTTGAACCATTTAACGGTTTAGCCGGTTTTTATTTTATTTTTTTTTTAGAATGAACTGTCCATTCGGTTCAAATAGTCGGACCGTTCGAATTGAGAACCAGACCCCTACTTTAAGAACCTTGCTTTATAACATTGCTAAAAACATCTCCATCACCATCGTTCAAAATTTGCAAAGCAACCTTAGAAAGGATAAAACTTAGTTTCGGCTGTAATATTGGGTTAAGCAATATTAAATTTTTGTTGTAAAAAGTAATAAATTTTTGAGTCGTGAATGGGGAGACAGAGAGATGTGTCTCTCCAGACCAAACACCAATTCGAAGAGACACAAATAGATGAGGAAGAGCCCGGCTCTACGCACACATATGTGAAAAGGACCCTCAATTAACCCCTCCCCCCCCTCTCACATGCATGTAGTGGTATATAGTGTTTTTCTTTTATGAATCCCTATGCATAGAGAAAAGAAAAGAGAAGAGAGAAAAGAGAAAAGACAAAAACAAAAAAACAAAAAGAAGGGAAATGAAATTCTTGACATTTTGAATCTCCCTCCAAGAATTTTTCATAAAGACCCAAAGTTCAACTTGAATCCAATATAGTTGAAATTCATCAAATGGGGAAATCCAATTTGCACCTATAATTTATTGGAGCACTAGAGAAGTGTTGAGGTTTGTTTCTTTGTATAACGGGCAAGTTACCATTACATGTAATAAACAGTTCCTTGTACTTTTTAGGGAAACTAGAATGGAAGTTGGCAGCCTTGTAACTTGGTAAACAATGGCATATGTTCATGGCGGTAAATATTCACCTAACAATTTCCCTAGCATATTCTCTATCGTAGGCTACTTACAGTTTCCTGTTCGAGCTCATCAGGTGTGTACTGGCTTAACTTCAGATGTTGGTAAACATTCACAATATGTTCATGGTGTTAGCTCTCTCTCTCTCTCTCTCTCTCCAGTCAGGTCAGTAAAAAAATAAGCCACAACTTCATTGGTTTACTGCAATTGCAAATTTTGATATAAGACCAAAATGAAGCAATACTATTAAAGTGTACTGCCATACTACAATTCTCAGTTAGGAAGGAGTACATGCATATAGAAATATCTAAATTGCAAAACCTTATATTTTATATTATTTTGTATTGTACATATTTGTATTTATACTCTTTTCAAATTGAGCCAAGTTGTTAGAAAATAAAAAACCTATTAAGCAGGGGCGGAGAGAGGGAGACCCAAGTGAGTCATCTCCCCCAATGGTCCAGAATTCTCCACTCTTGAAATAGAGTTTTCTATGTAAAATTCCCCTTCCCAAACTCCCCACCTCCACCCATTGACAGTTATGCCTTGTCAGCAAATCTCCAGACTCCTACGTGATTAAGAACTCATCCTCTCTTTACCTTATCTCTGTTCTGTTATTTTTATCTGCTCCTTTTTATCTTACTTTTAATATTGTATTTATCTATCAGAGTCCATCAAAATCTTGGATCTCTCATTTTTTTATTTTTTTTGTGTGATCAAATTACCCCAACTTAGAATTCTTTCACCACCCATTCCATTCCATTTTAGGTTTTGGCCATCTTCATAAAAAAATTTCTTACTCCCCCTGCTATTAAGCTTTTAGTTATTTATTGATTGAGGTGGTATTACAACCTGCTTGACCAAGTGTTGTAAATGTTTTATCTTCATCATCCTATCAATTTAATATGGTTGTCTCCATAAACTTTCACGTGAAGGGGCATACTAGAAAATAAAATTCAGAAACCTAACGGTTAGTTAAACATGCATGCCCGCCAAAACTACCTCTTTACCATATAATGCTGATGCTTGCTTTATCTTCATGTACATATTACAGTGAGCTCACTTTTGATATAAAAGTGTTGTACCGCAGGGCTAAAGCCGAGAGCCAATAACGCTTTTGATGTATTACAATGGCTCCATCATAACGCGCGTCACTTAATCTAATTCAAAGTGAGCCTTACAATACATCAAAGGCCTTGATCTTTGCAACCTAACCCTACTCTGAATGGTGTACATGTTTTCCCTTGATTTTAACTTTTCTTATAAAACACCAAAAAAAAAAACTTTTTATTAAAAGTTAAAACAAACAAACTTAAAGACAAAAAAGAGAACAGAAAGTTCACGTGTCTCCTTCGATAAAAGGACCCAACCACAAAACAGAACCTCAGATGAGAAACCCTAACTGTTCAAGTCTGATTTGTTGTTCCATCTTCCTGCATCCGACAGCCCACTGATTCACCACTAACCAACTTGCACTCCTTAGGTAGGAGGACCCAAGAGAAAAGAGGCCCAGCCCAAAAATAATATTAATATTATTTAATAATAAAAGAAAAGAAAAAGGAGCCTCACTGTACGTAAATGAAGGAAGAAAATCAACAAAGAAATATGATATGAATCAAGGTATTAACGGGAACGGGAATTGATGAAAAACAGGAAAGAAGACAAGAGAGACCATGGAAATCCGTGCTGAGCGCAAGTTTTGAAATCAAAGACTGTTCACGGATTTAACTAGTCACGGATTGGTTATTGAAGTTCACAACTGGACAAATGATATATACTCCAAATTCTCCAATTTAACCGAAGAAATAAAGAAAATCGTTTATTTTCGGGTGCCTACACAGCACAGCAGAGAGTTTCTAATTCAATAAGTTTTCCTGGTTCTCTCACCCTCGTTCTTGGTGCAGAAACCAGAAAGAAAAATGTCACGGGCTGTTCATACAGTGTTACAATTCATCTATAAATCTTTGCTTCAAACCATTAAGCGAGCAAGCAAAACAACACTTGCAATCCTGAAAGCTTTCGAGTTTAGGATTCATGGGTCCCAGAGTTACAGCAAGCTTCTTCGTTTTCATGATCTTTACGTTACTGGCGTTGCCACCGATATACGCTTGCGGATACTGCTCACCACCTCAGCACCGCCCGAGATCGCCAAAAGCCCCCCATCGCCCACCGTACCGTTCTCACCCACCATCCCCACCGCAGCATGGCAAAGAGAGACGTAAAGTGTCACCGCCGACCAACAACTCGCCAGTGCCGCCAGTTATTGTCCCGCCGATTATCATTTCTCCCCCAGTGATTACTCCACCTGTAACCATTCCACCTCCGTCAACCACGTACCCGCCTTACACTGGTAACCCTCCTTCAGGAGGTAGCAGTGGTGGTGGTCTTACACCACCTTCTGGAGGTGGAAGTGGACTTCCAGGGATAAATCCTCCACCTTCAACCAGTCCGACATGCCCGATCAACGCGCTGAAACTAGGGTTGTGCTTGGATGTTCTTGGCGGGTTGGTGCACGTTGGATTAGGGAACCCAGTGGAAAATACTTGCTGTCCGGTGCTTGGAGGTCTGTTAGAACTTGAAGCAGCTGTTTGCCTCTGCACTGGTATAAGGCTTAAGCTTCTCAACCTGAATATATACATTCCTCTCGCTATTAAAGCCCTTATTACCTGTGGAAAGAACCCTCCACCTGGTTATGTATGTCCTCCTCAGTGAACATTTTGTTCGCAGATTTAGCTGGTTTAATTGTTCTCTTTATTTTTACTTTTTTTTTTTTTTTTTGGGGGGGGGGATTTAGTCTCATTTCTGTTGTTGTATTAGGGTTATTCCTTTCTTCCTTTTTTTTGTGCTTAGAATTACAAGTAGGATTCTAGGGGAATATGGTTCAGGAATGTCTGACTTAATTCTCGGCATTATTATTGGTTAAGATGAAAAATGTGAGATAATGTCTAACCTGATTCTCGCCATTTTATTGGTCGAGTATCATCTCTCTCTCTCTCTCTCATGGTTCCTTTATAATAACCCTTTTGGTTTTATTTAATTTGCTGGAAGTTGCATTTCCATTAATGGGTTATATGAAAGCTTCCTGCTACTTGCTCTCTTACCAAAGAAAAAGAAGTAATGGGAATATACACACACACTTCTAATATACCTCTCGTAAAAACTAAAATATTCCCCTTTACTCCTGTATAGTATGGAAAATTTGCGTGAGTTACAACAATGGATTCATCTCATACATTGCATGCATATATTTTACAAGTGAATATAGATCTACTTTGGTTAAATATTTCCCTTCATTAATTGGGTTTTGATTTGGTGACACCCATTCTATATAATTAAAGGTGGCACACAAAACTATCCTTGGTATTAGTTTTTTATCAATATTGTATAAAGGGGTATCTTTTGTCTTTTCACTTGCGATATACCCTACTTTATCAGACAATATATGTAGCCAACTCAGTCCCCTTTCTATTTCTCTTTTTTTAATCCGATAGATTATTATACATTGTGCAGTTCTTGCTTGCACTTGTTGCTATTCTTGATTCTGCATCTATCTTTTCTCTTGACTCTACATTCTTGATTCTACATTTCCCTTGAATCCCTACCTTTTTCTTTCAAAACAAACACATCCTAAGGGAATCTATGATGCAGTGCCTAGCCACTTGCATATTCTACATTTCTTTAAGGTAAGTTATTTAAACTTCCCTTATGTCTTTTGGATAAATGCGTGAACTTCCCCTCTGGCCACTTTGATCTCTCCAAAATTTTTCCTTGACATTTCAAAGAAATTAACAGACCCCTTTGTTAGTTTGACGTTAAAAACCTAATAAAAATGATAATGCCATACTTTTAATTAAATAATTTAATTTTCAAATTAGCGCATGGATGACAATATTAAGAGTCTATTGACTAAAATACCCTCAAAAGCATTTCCACATATTATATTTCATTGCAAACTTGGCCTTTTAAAAAACAGAGCCAAGTTTAGTTTGAGTGGCTTTGTAAGCTTGGAGAGGCAAGTGGGTTCTGTTTGTTTCTTCGGTACAATCAAAGGGTAAAGTCATAATTTCTCTAAAATTTCATCTTCACCATACCAATGGAAGGCACTTATTTATATAATTTCTCTAAAATTTCGAGGAAAAAAGGTTAAAATTATTATTTTGTCACAAAACACAAGGGTGGTTTGAGTAATTTACCCTTTTTTTATATGGGTAAATTGCTGAAACCTCTCGTAAAGTTTGGTAATTGCAATTACATTCCTGAACTTCTTGACACAGTTGTAAATAGACCCCCTTTATTACTTGAAGCTTTACATTTGAGCTACATTTGAGCGATTGATATGAAAATTTGGAAAATAAATCATTTTCAGAAAAGAGCTTGAAAGGGTTTGAAGTAATGATTGATATGAAGAGAAGTTTTAAAAATAAACATTTTAATTAAAAGTAACTGAATGATATTTTGGACATTTTCATGCCTCTTGTTAGAGGACTCTAACAAAAGAAATCTACTTGCAATTGTATTAAAAAATTAAGAGTAAGTGTTTCAGCAATTTACCCTTTTTATATTATAACATGAAAACTTTCAGCATAATTGCATATATACTTTATCCAATTGTTATTAGTACTTTGCGGCAGGTAGTTGTTTATATAAAGCATAACACAGATTTCTATTGACAATTAGGCATTGGCTAAAAGACAAAAAACATGTTCAATATTTTCAAATTGTAATTGGTGACCTAGGACACAATCAGTCTTCAAATGTTATCTATTTCTTACAAATACTAAGTAAATAAGAAATAGTTGTAAGCCCACATCACATGAAGCAACATGGGAGTGCAGAAAATCAGGATTCTGGAATCATATATATAAATTGGTTCACGAGATGGAGATGGTGGTCAATAAGCACTGTTAGTTCGGCCAAAGTAACATCTTATATTAATAAACGGCCCCAATTATTTTATGACAAGAGAAAAACAGCCTTTGGAAAATATTAAGCATTATTTTATCATTTCTTGACTTTAGCCGGCAGATTTTTTCTTGGGTGTTACATCAACACCTCATTGCGGTTGGCATTTATGCTTTTAATTCCTTGAAAACTTTGAGATCCTYATCCACATAAATATGTTACCCTAATTGTAATTGCAGTCAGGCTGGCATGCAAGGACCGCTGCACCATCGATTCTTCATCAAAAGCTGGGTGCAGCTGAGTACATCGATCTACTGTTCTACGCCAGGCAAGAATACATCGATCACTTTACACTAAGTTGATTACCCAAAATACAAAAAAAGCACACAAGACGGTTGTCTTGCCGATGTATATACAAACTTTTATTCAGTCCCTTATTAAAATCGCCACTGCTAAGCGAGTCTGGCACTATAATCTACCCATGAAATGATTTGAAGCAAACTTTTAAGATATCTGCTGAAATATATAATTATTTACTATTATAAGGGTTTTAAGTGAATAGTATAATATCACATCAATACTTCTTTTCTTACAGAGATGATAATAATAGGATAGGATTTAGGATTCAAAACTGCACCACTACTGAGACAATTCATCTATCACACCAATTTGGTTGTTGCTCAATTGGTATTAAAATAAGTGTGTGTAATAGATTTGGACATCATATATGGCAACCCATCAATTTTTGGAAAGCATCTAATATGGATCATTTTAATGTCCTTTTTGGTCTTCCCCTAGCCCTTTTAAGTCTTTTTTTTCATTTTATCACCCATTAGAACTATCATTCAAATAACTTTATTTTTAATTAACCCTATCCTCTATAATTTTTTCACTCATATGTATTTTTAAATGAATTTCTATCATGCACATTTTTTTTGGACATCTTGGGTTCTTGACTATCTATCCAATACTCTTCTCCTTAAAAGATGATTACTTCTTTATCGACTTATACATGGGTCAACCACATATCTAGTAGGGTTGTGGTAAACATTCATTCCTTAGCCTTAGTGGAATTTTGGATATTGTCTGTAGAAAATAAGCATATCTTAGGAGCTGGTTTGATTAAGATATTATAATACATTTGCTTCAATTACCAAGCTCACTATGTATCTCAAAATTCTTTTTTTTATTGAAAAGAATGAAGAGGTCCCAGATGGAAACTACAAAAAGGATTCAACCAAGATTGAAAATAGCGCATCCCTCCCTTGAGAATGAGAATTCATTCCAGCCAATTGTGATTCCAGACTGAACCAAACAGGTAAAAAAGGAAATAGACCATTCCAATTCTGAATCTAGTTTTGACTGCAAACCCAGTTGAATACTTTTGGACATCAATATTGTTTGTTTTGTAAAGGGGATTAAGCTTCTGCTTTAAATGGAAAACCTTTGTTTGCAAGTGTGTGCGAACTGCGAAGAAACAACAATTCCAATGCTAGAGGTTTCGACCACAACAAGCTAACTTTAGTAGGGAGACAATGCACGATTTCAGCACTACCTTCAGCGTCGAAGGTATCAACAAAACTGAAACAATCTTACCTTTTTGCTTCATTAGAAGACGATGCGGCTTCCAGCCTTCCACTACCATCGCATAAATTATCCACTAGAATGGTATAACCATTTCTTTTTCTTCCTTGCACAAGCAAACAATCTCTATCTCTAGTCCCTCTCTTCTTGCTTAATCATTTTACGTTTTCTCATTTTTATTGCTTGTGTATTTTTTTGTTTAAGTTGGTTTTCTTCAATCTCTACCATCCATATCTCTTCTTTCTTAAATTATATTAACTTGGAGTGAAATCCGAAATCCCATGCATCCAATCAAATTCGAATTGAATTTGAATTGACCACCTATACATCCAATCAAATTCGAATTGAATTATCGAATCAACTCGAATTAATTTATATACATCCGATCCATATCTAATCCGATTATAGAATGTTCCTCATGTGCGTGGCTGAGACATGCTATGAGGTTGGTATGAAGAACGCTATGTGAGCAATGTATCCAAAATTCCAAATTCCTTTTATTTTTCTTTCTTTTTTATTTTATTTAGGTTAGTATGAAATTTACCATCTCTAAACTGTGATAAAGGTCTACCATGGGAGGGTTAATTACATGTCAGAAAGTGCTGCACCAATCACGTAACGTAAGTGGTGATGAAAAACAAAATTGCATGATGAACTGAACATTGCATTGACCGGAATGGCAGTCCTCTGACCGGCTATCCCTTGGATCTGGCCTTTTATATATATATATATATGGAAAATTGTCAAAAACTTAATGAGTTTTCAGAATTTCTCTTAAACTCATCATAACTTTTCAAAATGTCTAAAACTTACCATGTCATTAATTTGACGTTAAAAAGACTAATGGCTGTTAATATATTATTATTTTAATCTTTATAGAAAAATATAAAATATATACATATATTTTAATATTTAGATATGAAAAAAAAAGGAAAAAGTTCAAAAAATATTTTTAAATATAAAATACATAAAAAATAAATTGCAAAAAATATAAATAATTATAGAAATTACGCACAAAATAAAAAAAAATATTTTCAAATTATAGAAACTACAGAAATTGAAAAACAAAATCAGAAAATAAAAATTGTAGAAAAAACACCAAAAATTATAGAAAAATACAGAAATTGCAAATAAATAACAAAAAATACAAAAAATTTTATAGATTGCAGAAAATAGAAAAATGTAAAAAAACATTAGAAATTATAACAAAACACTAAAATGTTAAAAAAAAAAGAAAATTGAAAAATGAAAAAGACCCTTTTTCCTCTAACTCGTGCCATTCAAGGGTGATTTGGTCATAAAAATTGTTATTTATGCTATCATGGACACCTCTATTAAGAAACATTAATGGTGCACTAACGGAAGGTAAGTTTTGGAAAATAAAAACTTATATATATATAAGCTCAACCCCAACCCATGTGTTTTGGTCCCCATCCTAGGCTCCTAGCCTCCCAAACAATTTGTGAAAGAGACCTCTAGAAGCAACTAGTCAACTACAACCATG